TCCTCTTGCAGATAAATGGTCTGGCAATTTTATCGACACACACAAACAATAGTGTATTGGCGTAATAAAAATTTGATTAAAAATGGATGACGCCATTTTTTTCAAGGTTTTAGTCTTTTCATCATTATCCAGGAAAATAGATTCATGTTACTGCATACCACCTTTGCATATGATTCCTTGGGAATCTGGGAAAATTGAAATGGTTGAATTACATCATGTCCAGTGGCTCTTGGAAACGAGAATACAAAAAAAGAAAACTAAAATTTATTTTATTTAATTTCTGAAAACTTTAAGGAAGTATTTGTTGAGATTGATCCAAGAGGAAAGAAAATCCCAAATTCACAATATCAATATTTCGGGGGCAATTTATGCTTTCAAAATGTCCGTGTGGTAGGCTCTCAAATCACAATGATAGAACGAGTCAGAAAAATAACTTTAAAAAGGCAAACATTAATCACTTGACATACCAGCCAATCCATTCACGAAGGGCAATTTGAACAATTTCATAAGTGCATTAAAACATCTGGTTCAGTGATAGCCAAACATTTATTAAGCGACAGACACTGTACCTGGAATTCTGTAACCAAAACATGTTCTCGGTAATGAGGAAAGTGTTTTATTCTGAATTTCACATTTCCGTTTCTTTGCTCAGCTTATATTAAATCCTGCCAGCCATCACTTGTAATCAATAAGCGGAAGAAATATGATTAGCCTTTGATCTTTATACATATATAACATCCGATCAGTTCCATTTTTTCATTTTGATTCAACCACTGATTGTCCAAGGATCGATAAACTGGTTGGGATTAGTTTTTTATTAATTGTGTTTTCCATTTCCATCTTGCTAAATTATGTTAATGTAAATACCTTTTTTTCTTCTCTGAAAGCAAAAATGAGTATCTGTTTATATTAGTCCGTTTTAAAAAATCATTTATTTAAATTTTGAATATTTTAAAATAAAGAAATCAAGATATTTCCCCACGTTATTGATAAAATAATCCAATCGTATCTTGCAAATTGCTCATCCCTCCGGTGTAAAAATGCCCAAATTTCCCTTTAGATGCACAAAAACTCAATATCAGATTTACCTTTTTTTTCAATTAATAAACCGTTTCCTTTAAAAAAAAAAATATTTGCAGTAAACTATAGCAAAAGATGACAGATGGTTTCGTCAGGGTTTTTTTTCCGGAGGATGATACAAAACATTTTCAGTTGGTTTGATTTTCCTTCTGCTTTTTGGACAATATAAGTTTTGCGTTATTTTGGTAATCAATTTTTTTTGCTATTAACCAAAATGGGCTTTTTTTTGTAGAATTTGTGAATTATCCCTTTCATAAATACATTTATTCATTAATTAATTTACTTTTTTTTTTTCATTCTAATAAACGACGCTCTTCATATTCTATCAAACATAAGATATCACCTCCTGGAAAAAGTAAAAATGTTGAACAATGGATTTCTTATTTTAGGACAGTTTATCCATTTTCTTATTGCAATTGATTATTAACAAACTGTTTCATCGCTTCATTGCAATCTTCCAAAAGGTTCGGTAGAAAGTCTCTTCTTCATGATTGGTAATTTCAACTCTTTCCTTTTAAGCTGTCCATATGACGAATGGATAAAGACGTTGGTTAGATCCAACAGTTCTGAGTTCAATACCAGGCCACAGCAGTGGTGAACCAAAACTTTTGAACTGAGCTAAAGGGAAATGTCTGAGACATCCGGTTTGAAGATGACACATGGAGAACTAGAACAATTTCTCTGTCCAGATCGAAATATAATTTTGGTTTTAAATTCCAATCACCAAACTGGCCAAATCATCTGGCAAAAAATTTGTGAATATAGCAATGAAGATGACAGGAGGAATCCAAATAATGTTGCTTCCCTTTACTTAAAGAGTTTGAAATAGCTAATTTTGCAGACACTGTTCGAATTTCAGTCGTTTAAATAATGTTTAATTTTGAAAAAATAACAAAGATCAAATATAAATTAAATGTTTCATCTTTCATATCTGGGAAAATTTTTTTTTAAATAAAAAATTCTAGTATTTTCTTTATAAAAAAATAAAATATATTCAATTATCCAAAATTTTCTCGTTAAATAAAAGACATAAAGGGAATAAAAATGACAATAAAAAACATAATTTTGATTTTAAAATTTAGTCCAATGTGGAAAAAATCAAAATAAATACGAAAAAGAAAAATTCAAGAAAGTTCCAATAAAAATAAAAAACAAAATGTATCTACGCCCAGGTTTTTCCACTATTTTCATATTTTTAACAAAATTACTGCTCTTACAAACAAATATACACAACAGATTCATAAAATCAAAAGAAAATGGATGAATACATCAACACAGATATAATGACAATATTCTCCACACGTGACAAATACTGACGTTATTTTCAGTTAAAAATATGAAAATAGCGTTTCTCTACATTCCAGTTGCTAGGTACATTCTGTTTTTGTTTTTATTAGTTACTTTGTTCATTTAATTTCATTTTCGTATTTTGCTTTTATAAAGTCCACATTGGATGAAATGCGTCAGCAATTACCAGTTTTCCTATTGTCATTTTTATTCATAAATATAGTCAGTTAGTTATTAGAAGTAGAAAAGTACTATAAATTTGTAGTAATGGATTTTAAATATTAAAAATATGACTTACTTATATTCAGACGACCCTTTTAAGAAATCTTTGTGTATAAAAGGTATATATTAAGCAGCCAAATAAAAATACCAGAAGATTTCTATCATTAAAAAACCCAGATGACACATTCCATTTCCCTGTCATTTATATTGTGAGCAGGCAATTCTAAATAAAATTAACTTTAACCTGATTTTGAAAGTAACTTATATTTGATACATAAGTTGTCTAGAGAAATTAAAACCCAACCACTCCTTTTCAAAATAATTGAATATTCCATAACCTTAACAAATTAAAATATTAAGATTGTATGTACTTATAAATGAAGTAAATTTCTTAATAGGTTATTCCAAAAATTGCTTGAGAATGGAATGGATAATATGGATTTAAAATTTAATTTTATAATTAAATTAGAAATTTTATTTTCTGTTTTTTTTTTATGTTAATTCCTGTGTAAAAAACCATATTTTTAAATATTGAAAATAATTATAATATTATCTCAATTTTATTTTTCAAAAAAGTTTACTAAAAAAAAAATTACTATTCTTTATTATTATTTATATATATATATATATATATATATATATATATATATATATATATTATGTGTGTGTGTGTGTGTGTGTGTGTGTTAATTTTTAGAACAGATATTATTGCAGTCATCATCATCAGTCCCATGACACAATAATATGTGGTTTTAATGTTCCTGTAATTGGCTTTTAAAAACGACAAAAATCAACAGATGGGTTTGAAAAACAGAAAGGTATTCATTCATGTCTAGTGTGTTTCAGGCAAGTAGACCTGACGAAACCCATCCCTCTCCAGATCAAACCACACCCAATGTCCTCCAACATCAAGGCCTGTCTTGGTCACGGACAAATTGTTGTTGATTCTATAGGGAAACAACCGATCCTGTCCATTGATAACATATCGAGGATAGATTTTTTTAAAAGCAATGCAATGTCACCAGACCAACTGGGTGCATTATTTTAACAATCAAGCCTGCCATCTAAAAAAATTATTAATAGATGGCCAAAGAAGACTCAAATTTTCTCAAGATTATCTAAATTTTATCATTGTGGTCGTATGAGTTTTTTTTTTATTTCAATGTTGAGCCTAGTCAGTACCTAGATGGGTGACTGGGAATATCCGAATGTTTTTAGCATGAAGGTGCACATTATAAAAAACATTGAATGGCTCAATATTGTTAATCAGAGAGAAACTTTCTAATTCAAAGTTGGGTTCATTAAAATTTAACCATTTCGAGCAAATATTTAAAGGGAAAAGTATTTGCTTAATTATTCAATTGCCCAAAATAAAAAAATTAGTAAGACAATGGATATTTAAAAATTATTATCTCTTTTTAAAAAAAAATGCATACAAAATTTTTAGATTTTTGGCATTAAATAATTGATCTTAGTTTTTTTTTTTTTCTTTTATTGTTTTTCCCCAAGTTGAAATGACAATAAATATGATTTAACACAAAAAACTTTTTTTATTACTAATTTTTTTTTTTTACAAGGCCCAAGAGCCACATTTTGGTATCTGGGTCAAATTAATTTATGTATTTGTATTTTTTAAGGTATTTGTAGATAACAGGGAAGATAGCTGTATTTATTTTTTTTTTTCAGGAAGATAATAATTTATAATTTCATCCAAGGTCAAAATTTAATTAAAAAATAAAAATTCATGTTCATGGTGGAGATTTTATGAAAATTTGGATAAAAATTCAGTTTTTTTAAAGGAAACAAAATTATTAATCCTAAACAGGAAATAAGGGATGAACCTAATATTTGCGTTCAAAAAACCAGGGAGGAATTTGAACTGGACAATAAGCAAATAAAGTATATTTTTTTTTGTTTAGCAGTTAATAAAACTTTCCATCAATTTTTAATGGCAAAATCTAAATATTTTGTATTTATTTTTTCAGGAGAACAATAGTTTTAAAATAATAAAAAAGATACTTAATTTATTTTTATATGCTGGGGAGAAAAATGTTAAATACTGATTAATTAATATTATTTGCTCGATTAATTATTTAATGAACTCCAACTGAAATTCAGAACTTTATGATTAACAATTTAAAGCTCACATATTAAAAATATTAATGCCAAGTTTCCAACATCTGATAATAGTCCTGAGGAGATTGGACAACATTGCTTAACTTCAGTGATCGTTTTTTTTAACTTTTATTTTCTAAAAAAATATTTTTTCTGTTTGAATGAAGATGAGGTAAAAAAAAAAGGAGTGTTTTGTGATAAAGTTTTTATTTCATCTTGCAGTTGAAGCCAAAAAAAAAAAAAAAAAAAAAAAAGAGGGTTTTGTGTCTTTCCTTTTTATACAGTCCAGTGGAAACTTACCTGCGTTGTCGTTTTCTTATAATAGGGTTGTTGACTTTAAAAGGGGTTTTTAAATTGATAAAATTTTTCCTTTGTCTCATTGTCAAAAAAGTTTCAGAAAAAAAAATTTTCATGTCTTCCTGAGCATTCTACAACAGAATTGAAATAACTTAAGTTTATTATAAAATCCAGGTTATGTGTGTGTGTGTGTGTGTGTGTGTGTGTGTGTGTGTGTGTGTGTCTGTTCATTTATATATTGGATCGGATTTCCTCCATTTTTCAACTAATTTCAACAAAAATTCACAGGACTACGTAAAATTAATTGCATTCAATTCTATTCTGACAGTACCAAAAATTGAAAAAAACAATTGTTTTTTGCACAAAATCAATTTGAAAAACAATTTTAAGAAGTGCTCACGAGAATGAAATTTTTTCCACTCATATCGAAGTTATACTATTTATTATATGTTTAGAATTGTTTTGTGTGTGTTCATTTATATATGGGATCGGATTTCCTACATTTTTGAAAATTTTTCAACAAAATTTCACTTTTTTTTTTTGGCAGGTAGTGTTTTTTATTGTCTTGTCACAGTTTTTTTTTTTATTTTACATTCAGAATGCTTTAAAAATTTTATTTACAAGACAATTGTTTATAATAAAAATCTATTCAATCGGTAGACTCATAACTTTGAAAACAATGTTTTTTTTTTTAGTTTGGGTTTGAACCAACCATGAAAAAAAAAAAAAAAAAAAACTAATTAAGAAATCGTTACCGTTAAACTTAAACAATAATCTTTGTCAATTTTATTTTTCAGTCTTTATGATGGTCGATACTTGATTTATCTCTTACTGTTACATCCCAAACAACGAAGGGCTCTACTATTAGTCAATTTGAATATATGTAAGGATATTATCTAAAATACAAAGAACTTAAACACACTGAAAACATTCAAATCACTACAATACCCTAATTACTTCATACTAAGTACAAAAACAGTAAGCTCTGAATATACACATCAGTAGTAAGCATAAAAATCCATCTATAATTGGATAAAGAAATAATCGCTGATCAACTCAAAGGACTTTGAATTAAAACCATTTGAATGACACATACCATAAAAAAGTCAAAAATAAAATTATTCAACATGATTCAAATGCTATTATTGAATCATATTTAATGGTCTTATTTCTTGATTGACATTTTTTAAATGAAATATATATATATATATATATATATATATATATATATATTGTATATATATAATAAAATGAAAGAACAGTAAGATATATAATACAAAAATAGATATTTTTTATTTTTTTAAAATAGTGCTCAATGTAAATTTAATAATATTTATGAGTTTAATATTATAAATTAATTTAATATATATTTTTTTAATAACAGTTCTAACCATGTTTCAAAAATGGAAGAGAAAGAAACCTCGAATTTAATTTTGTAATTAAATTAAAGACATTAGTTCCATTTCATTGGAATAGTGTTTTGCTTCCATTTGAAAAATGGTTAGAACTGTATAGTAAAAAAAAATTTTAGATCAAATTAATTTATTTTATATATATATATATATATATATATATATATATATATATATATAACAACAAATTCACATTTAGAATGACTGATTAAATAAATTAAAAACATTATGTCTGCATATTTTTAGTACAATCCATTCATATCCACAGATATTTTTCCATAAGTGAAATTAAAATGATTTAGAAAGGCACTGAAACAATTAAAATTAATTTATTTCCCAATTAAAGAAAAAATGTATCTTTCTAAGCCCATCATCAGAGTTGTAACTGCTAAGCCAAAAATTATGTGTAGCCATTACTAAATTTTTTCTTTTTTGCCTTTAAGTACGACAACTGACAGAAAATTCCATAGTGAATAATTTTTTCACATTCTAATGAACACTAAAGGATAACTGCCAGTCGTTGCATTTAAACACAAAAAGAAAAAATTCAGTAATGGAGAAGAGCTAAACACAGTTTTTTGCCTTACCAGTCGCACCCCTGATGACGATGTCAAAAAGAGATCCATGTACTAGGGAAATAAAAAATGATTTTTACTGTTATTGAGCATTTCTTGCATCATTTGATTGTTTTAGACAGAAAAATATTTGTGAATATGAATGGATTATGTTAAATATATATATATATATATATATATATATATATATATATATATATATATATATATATATAATATTAGTGGAAAATATACATACATATAAAAAGGATAAATACCCATACATGTATATTTTTAGAATAAAGATTCCAAGAGGAAGAATCAGGTAGAACTCAATGTCCAGGACAGAGAGTAAGTATATATATATATATATATATTATATATATATATATATATGAAGAAATTATAGTCTTAAGGTGTGCTATATTTATGGGATAAAGTGCTTTTATCAGAGATAGTGTGTGTAAATATATATGATAAATATGAAGTCAACAAGCAAATGGCAAGTCTTTTTTATGCTATATGCATGGTAACCTGACGATTGCATATAGCATGAAACAGACTGTCGCCTCTAAAAGAAGAGGTATGTTCACTTTTATATTTATATATATATATATATATATATATATATATATATATGTATGTATATATATGGGTATATATATGTGTGCATGTGTATGTATATATATATATGTGAAAAGTGTGTTGTATATATACATATACATGAATATGTGTAGATATGTGAATATATTTTTATATGTGTGTACATGGGTATATATATGTGTGTATGTGGGTACATGCCTATGTGTATATACGTGTATATGTTATTGTGTATGTGTGTATTCGCATGTGTTTTTGAACATAAAAATATAGGTCCTTGCTGGATTAGATAATCGTTATATTTATTTCTTATATGTTTATATTTAATTTGTAACCTGTAGTTGATATTAAATTTGTCAAATTTTCTCAATTACAAAGCGGCCCTTTAAGTAAACGCAATTTTACTTTCCTTCGTCCCATCTCTCTCCCCCACCTCGTCTTTCCCTCCCTCTTATTCTAACATTAGATTGTCTATGGTGTGTGTATGTCACCATGAAATGTATCTTTATGCATTAGACATCCGTCAACATTCATTCTTTTCTCTTATTTAAACCCCTTCCACCCATCTCTCCTAAAATTCTCTCTGTTAAGGTTTAATCTCCCTCCTCCTCATATTTACACTCTCTCTAAATTCTGTTTTTATTTCCGGAGTTGTTTTTTCTGGTTTTTTTTTTAATTTGTAGGTCTGATGAATTGGATCGTATTTACGATTACAATGGAATAAATTATGACCGTGGAATATTAGTGTTTAAGCCTTTTTTTATATATATATATATATATATATATATATATATATATATATATATATATGTATGTGTGTAAATAAAAAAACAGTAAGATATATAATCCAATGTTCTTATTGATATTTTTATTTTTATAAAACAGTGCTAAATGTAAATATCATAAATAAACTGATTTAAAATGTTTTTTTCGCTACACAGTAATAACCATGTTTCAAAAATGGAAGATAAAAACTTTAAATTTAATTATATAATTAAATTAAAAGCATTAGTTACATTTCATCTTCAAGTGAATATTGAAATAAATTATTTTTAAATTTACTAAGTTTTAAACGAACATATAAATTTATAATTTACAGTTTCCAAGGATACAGAGAAATCTAATGATTCAGACAAGGGTGATAGCATGTTCATTTTTATTAACTATTGTTGTATCAATTATGAGTTACGTTTGAAAAAGAGGTTAAGTTTAGGGAGGGTAGGGGTGTATTTTTCAACAAATTCTGGCATCCATTAAATGCATGTCGTCTGGGTTTTTTTTTATTAACAGCAAAAAGTTATTCTTCTTAGGTGTGTTTGTGTTAGAATACGTTTTATTTAACTACAATTTTAAAATATTTTTACTCTTAATTACTAATAAACTGTATTTCTTTTTAAAAACCAGTAAATGTAATAGAATTACTTACTTATATTTGATATGAAAAAATAATTTTAAATAATGTATGTATATTACCAGCTCCCATTTTTTAATTTTAAATATTATTTAAGGAAAATTTTTGACAATGATGGCAAAAATAACTATTTCATTTCTCTGATTCAGTAAATATTTATTTTTTATAAATTTAGTAATATATAGTTTCTCATGTATGCACAAAGGACATGGGTCATTTAATGACCTGCATATTCTAGCTTTTCTTATTAATTTCCATTTTAACATTTAGGTGTTTTATTGGATTCTTTTAGAGAAAGAAATTTTTTGAAAGAATGTCTGATTTCTGTATTTATTTATCCAAAGTATTTCTGGCACATAATTTTTTTTAGTAAGATTTCTTGAATATTCAGGCCGATATTTAATGATTGATATCAATATTTTATTAGCTTTTGAAAAGTATGTGGCAAGTACAAACTATTAACTCCCTTTACCCACTTCCTTCAAATTCAGATAAGCTGAGGTAAAAAATTGGAAAGAAATTCATGAGCCTGTATGAAATTTTTTTTTTGCCCAATGAAAACTTTGACTTCATAGAGATTAGCCGGTGAGCTGAGAAAAAGATGAAAACAAATTTGTGAGCATATGTGAAAATTTTCTTTGGACCAATACAAACCTTGTTTTCACAGCAGTTAGGTTTGGTTTGATTTGTTTTATAGAATATCAATCACAATGGGTTACTTAATGCTGACAAAATTTTTATTGTTGGTAATATTTTCTTTTTCAAAAATCTATTTTTGGTAATATTTTTTTCTACAAAAAATCTATTTCTGGTAATATTTTTCCTTCAGATATGTATCACTGGTAATATTTTTTTGAAAATGTATAGCTGGTAATACTTTTTTTCTTCCAAAATTTTTGGCTGGTAATAATTTTTAAGTATTTGTGGTATTAAATGTTGACCATGTTCACCATCATCTATGAATATATAAATATAATTCATTTAAATTTCGTAATCTGTTCAATATAAACAACATTAAAGATTAACACTCACGAGTCAGACACTCTACTGAATCCGCCTATATCGCTATTACCACCAGCAGTTGTTACGTAATTCTTCAGTTTCAATATATCAAAACCTGCCAGTGAATATTTCTTAAAAAAAAAATTGGCCGCCTTTATACACGTTTTCATTGAATATTTTGAGCCATCTGATTGGTTAACCTTCTATTGGTGAACTATAAAATGAGTTAGCAATCATTTTTTCATTGGCTCACTTTTTGTACAGGCTCAGGGTACCCAAAAAATTCCAACATTAAAACCTATTTTTACACTTTCATAGTGTTTTGACTCCAGTTTGGGGGTTAACTATTTGTCCATAGCTGGGACTGTAACATTTACTACCACTCCAGGTCTGGATGGACCTGGGAACACCAGCAATTAAGAGGTGGTTCCACACTCCTTAAAACCTCCTGATCAGCAGCCTTGCTTTTGGATGTAGTTTATCGTCTTACCCAGGATGCAGATATAGTTTATCAACATACCCAAGACAGACATCAATTAGCTGTTGACCCAAGAAAAAAAAAAAAAGGAAATAGCAAGCCTATGTGAAAGACAGACTTTAAAAATGTCTGAATTATTTTCCTGAAATGAGTTGCTGGAACAAGTTTAGGTAAATGTATAAGTTCTTTATCTTGTTTTGTTAAAATTACCCTTGTGTTTCCTTGTCATTACTATCCTCTATTAATTCACATGGTGTAGGTAAATCAACTGCTCATTTTAACCCCTAAGCCCCCACAACACTATAGGTTTATTTTAAGATCAATATATACATATCTAATGGAATGAAGTTTTTACCAGTGACAAATTACTTACCAATTATCAGTCTTTAACCAAACACATGGCACTTTAAAGAATTTTCTCTCAAAGGCCAAAGAAAGCGAAATTTTTCAAACCATCTTTTTTCGTCTACATTTGAGCATCTACATTCCTTGTAAAAGCAACAAGCTTTCTTACCTTTGATTTAAACATTTTTTAATATTATTTTGTGTACAAACATTTTCCTCAGTATCTGTCTATATTTCTGAGATAAGGTATTATGTACACTATTTACATTATTCGGACTATTGTCCTCATCTTTTTCACCATATTTATTACAATGTTTTGGCCTTTTAGTATCTGCCTATATTTCTGAGATGAAGTATTATGTACACTATTTACATTATTCGGACTATTGTCCTCATCTTTGTCGCCATATTTATCACAATGTTTTGGCCGAGGTACACTCCAGTCTTCTTCAGGTGGTTGGAATGTTGAACTGAACACTTTATTTTGCTTGCTGAGGACACATGGCACAGTGGATAAAGGCGTTAGTTAGATCCAGTGACAGGACCCAAAGAATGTGAGTTCAATACCTGGTTAAGGCAGTAGAGAACTTGGAGAGGGGAATTAACAGGAGATAAGTGATAACTGACATCCATTAAACATGGCACGTGGAACTAGAACAGTCTACCCGAGTGAGCAAAATAAAGGGTTCAGTTCAACATTCCAACCACCTGAAGAAGGCTGGAGCATACAACAGCGGAAATGTTGTAATAAACATGGCGACAAAAGATAAGGAAAATTGTCTGAATAATGTAAATAGTAAACATTTCCTCTTCATGACAATTTGTTGAAACTGTGACTTGAAAATTTTTTTTATTTATTATCCTGAAACAAGCTATTGACAAAACTTCAAGTGTGTAAATTTGTAAATATTTTTCTTTTCTTATCTTGTTACCCGTGTGTTTTCTCATCATTATCTGACTCCATTAACATTCTTGGTGCGGATAAACCAACTGTTCATTTTAACCCTGAAGTCCAACACCAGTATAGACATCTTTTCTTTAAAACAGGTTAAACTGAGCTCTTTATTTCATCCACCAGGAAAGGTTGTTCTCATTCTACATGCAATGCCTTTTCTGAATGATTCAGTTCCAGTTATCTCCCTTTGAGTAACTCTCCAAGTTTTTGTTTACCTTGCTTTCATAATTGACTCACCTTATTGGCAATAATGGATGGAGAATGAAGAACTGTTTCAGGTGCATTTTTCTTCAGCCACGGACTTTGTTCCAAGTCGTCAACTGACATTCGATGAATTGGTTCCACATGAAGCAAACTTTAAGGACAAAATAAACAAAAAAAAAAAAAGGTGAAAGTTGAAAAGGATATTGAATGATAAAACAAATCTTTTTTTTTTTTTAAAAAAAATCAGAATGAATAATAATAATTGCTTCTAAAATAATTTTTTTTAATTTAATCAAAAGGTTCATGAGCATCAAAAAAAGAAAAAAAAAATTTAATTCGCTAAATCACAAAATATGTATATTATAAAAACGGTTATGGAGACCTACCAGACACTATTCATAACATACTTGCTGACAACACAAATATAATAGCATCATCTACATGCAAAAAAAAAAAAAAAAAAGGCTAAAAATAATGGAAGCCTTATTAATAAAAACAAAACTCAATAATCAACTATGAACATGGACACAATATCTTGACCATGTTTTGAAAATGAAAACATTATATAAATACATACATACAAACTATTACTTGTTAACAGTTAATATATTTCAACCTTGAAAATGGCTAAATGTATAGCTGAAAGTGCTTGGATTAAAAGAAAAATTGGACAGTTTTTATAGAATTTATTAACCAAAAAGAAAAAAATTATTAGATCACATGAAAAATTGTATAAAAACTAAATCAAAGCACCTTTTCTGTTGAATTCAGTGAAATGTGCATAAAAGAAGGATTGCTACCTAAATACACAAATATATATATGTTTTAAAGTATGGTATATTTACAGGATAAAATGTTCAATATCAGAGATAGAGTGTGTGTGTGTATATATATATATATATATATATATATATAGTGATTTATCAAATTTAGTGATTTCTATAATATTGATTTTACTTTATTACTTTTTATTTCTCTAAATCTTCAAATTTTGAATGTATAACTAATTCTAATTTCTATATTTCCATTTTTTCACCATATTAATTATATCTTATAATTGTCCCCTGTTCTAAGAAATCTCTTTCCTTTTATCAGTTACACCCCTTTATCTATGCATTTTTTTTCAAGTTTTTTTAAAATATATAACTTGGTATTGTTTGGGTCTTTAATATAACTTGATTTAACTTATCTTTGAAGTTTTATTTATTTTATTATCTGTCTATATTTCTGAGATGAGGTATTATGTACACTATTTACATTATTTGGACTATTGACCTCATATTTGTCGACATATTTATTACGTTTCGGACGTTTTTTCAGGTGGTTAGAATGTCAAACTTAACCCTTTATTTCGCTCACTGGGTTAGACTGTTATCTCCTATTAATTCCACTGCCTTAACTGAGTATTGAACTCACACTCTTTGGGTCCTGCCACTGGATCTAACCAATGCCTTTATCCACTGTGCCATGTGTCCTTGAGGACATCTGTGTATGAATTTCTGGGTATTATAAACCTAATGTTATCAGCAACCCTTTTTACCAGTGCTCATATTGCAATTTCTGCTGTTATTATTGCTTTTCTCTGGTTCCCATATTGTATTCATTTCTATGTTTGGTCAGCTCAGGAGATTTTTGTGGTCTAGCATATGTGCTGATTCCTTAAGTTTACGAATTTTCCAATAGTGTTCTTTGTCTATGATCTCAACCTGATTCCACAGAGGGCAGTGATCTCGCTTTTCTCTCTATATGTGGTCAGCCACACCTGATTTTTCCACTTCCCCTCATGTTACAGCTTTCTGGTGTTCTTGAAGCCTTACCTTGAGGGGGCACAGCCTGTCTCCCCTTTATATTTCTTTCCGCAGCTGCACGAGATAGCATATACAGTCTTTAGTCATGTTCTCCTCTAAAGGGGGGGGTCTTACTCGGGAGAGATATCTACGAAGTGTTGTCAAGCTTTTGAAGGATATCCTGATGTTTATTTTATCTTAAGTTTTTTATTCTTTAATATAAATATTTTTTAATTATATTCTTACTTAAATTTAATATAAATTATGTAAATATGATTTATTGTTAAGCTTTTTAATATATCTCATTTTTAAGTATAATTTATTTTTTTAAATAGGAACCTAACTTTTTTTTGTATATAATTAAAATTTTTTGTCAAAGTTAAATTTTAAATCGCTAATATCAACACAAACACAATCCACCTACTGGGGTTGAATAAGATTGATGTACTTCACATTGGCTGAAATAGATCTATAACCATATGAGGTTATTTGGGATTTTGTTGTGTAATTTATATGATCTGTTATAATAAATACATTGAGCTCTTTTTGGGGATCACTTGTAATATTTGATATTACTTGGATACATTTCGATTATATGCCAATGGATTTATTACCTGTACTATATATATATATATATATATATATAGAAAAAGTTGCAAATTAAAAAAAATAATGTTTTTTTATGAAAATATTTATTAATTTATACATATATTTGATATTTCAGATTGACCTCTATCTTTCTTGAGAAATAACTGTTTGTTACAAATAAATTAAAATTACTGTTTGTTTACAATATATATATAATGTGGTATAAGTATGACATTGAAAAACCTTCTTTTAAATTATATATATATATATATATATATATATATACATACACACACACACAAACTACATCTAAAACTTCAAACATTATTTTGTGGATGCCCATGTTTGAGTAGATGCCCTGTTTTTTTTTGTTTTTTTAACTGTGAATTATGCCTACCGGCTTGAACATTCAAGAAACTTAAGCAAAATATGCTCTCTAGCAGGATTCCAAGTTGCATTCCCTTTTATAGCAGAAACCACTGTCTGATCTAGTGTACTTTAGACCACTCAGCCATGGAGGATGTCACAGCCCAGCAAGCTTCAATTACAAATGCACTCTAGCTGAGATTTTCTCAAAAGCTCACAGAAACAAGGTAATTTCTTTAGACGTAATTCATGCCTTTTTAAAACAAAAACAAAAAAAAATCAAACAGGGGTAATCACAATATAATATTTTTTCTTGCTACCCAATACCTATAATGTTCAACAATAAAATTACTTGATCTGTATTATAGACATTGAAAATCAGGAAGAAAGGGATTGTCAGTGGTCAGGAATGAAGGCAAGCATTATTGATAGAATAGGGCTATTATATATATAATAGAAATACATTGTTAATGATTTTACTTCAGAAATGCATTGAAAAATCAAGAACAAAGGGATTGTCAGTGGTCAGGAATAATGAAAGCATTACTGATAGAATAGGGCCATTATATATATATATATATATATAAAATGGAATTGCAGTGTTAATGATTTTACTGTAGGAGGGCATTGAAAATCAGGAAGTGGTGAGTAATTAATTTTATGTACAATTCTGTTTTCAGCTTCGGTTCCTTCATTTAAAATCCTTGCTCTTACCTTTGCTCAAATCTGGCTCCCTGGAAAGGTGCAAAACATGCAACTATCTCAGCCACAAAGTGCCAAAACGAACTCACTGGAACAGAGAGCCCTTTTTTTTTTTTTTTTTTTTTTTACAAGCCACAAATGACATGCTGTTAATTAGCAATTTGCATGCAAATTAAATGAGATTCTGCAAAGACTGACCCCCGAACAACATCTTTCGCTGCAGGGGAGATAAACTCCCAGTCTTCCTCTGGAAACTCATAATCACCAGTCAGTATTTTTCTTTTCATCTCAACTGAGAGTTGACGTGAAGGAGTCTCTGAATAAAATGGTGGGTAACCACATAACATAATGTAGAGAATGACACCAAGGCTCCACATATCACAGCTCTGAAAAAGAAAAAGAATTCTCTGAAAGGAATTTCACAGTCACATCCTAAAGGAGGCACATCTGGTAAAGAAAATCAGAAAAGCCTTTTTTATATATTAATGTAAAGACTAGTTTTGACCCACAAAAATTTTATGCTTTTCCTACTTTAATATTCTGATGAATTTTAATTCTTAAAATAATGATTGAGTAAACTCATGGTGAGTTCTACGACAATAAAATATCTGTAGAAATTCTCCCATCATTAAATATTTGAGCTTAGAAGAATTAAGATTAATCCAAAAATTAGGAAAACAATGAAATCTTCACAGATCTTTCCAGGCAGTGGAATGAAAAGAGTTTACCTTCACGTTTAGGAAAGAAGAAGAAAAGAAATAAGCAAAGAAGGAAGGAGGAAAGAGAGAAATAAATAAGCAAAGAAGGAAGGAGGAAAGAGAGAAATAAATAAGCAAAGAAGGAAGGAGGAAAGAGAGAAATAAATAAGCAAAGAAGGAAGGAGGAAAGAGAGAAATAAATAAGCAAAGAAGGAAGGAGGAAAGAGAGAAATTAAATAAATAAACAAAAGAAGGAAGGAGGAAAGAGAGAAATAAATAAGCAAAGAAGGAAGGAGGAAAGAGAAAATAAATAAAAAGAAGGAAGGAGGAAAGAGAAATAAATAAGCAAAGAAGGAAGGAGGAAAGAGAAAATAAATAAAAAAGAAGGAAGGAGGAAAAGAGAAAATAAATAAGCAAAAAAGGAAGGAGGAAAGAGAGAAATAAATAAGCAAAAAAGGAAGGAGGAAAGAGAGAAATAAATAAAATAAAAAGAAGGAAGGAGGAAAGAGAAATAAATAAGCAAAAGAAGTTTTGGAGGAAAAAGAGAAATAAATAAGCAAAGAAGGAAGGAGGAAAGAGAGAAATAAATAAGAAAAGAAGGAAGGAGGAAAAATTGAGAAAATAAATAAGCAAAGAAGGAAGGAATTAAGAGAAAATAAATAAGCAAAAAAAAAAAGGAGGAAAAGAGAGAAATAAATAAATTTTTAAGGAAGGAATAAAAGATAAATAAATAAGCAAAGAAGGAAGGAGGAATTTTTAAATTAGAAAAAAAAAATAAAAAAGAGGAATTTTCTTTAATAATAAAAAAGAAGAAGAAGGAGGAAAAAAGATAAATAATTTAATAAGGAAGGAGGAAAATAAGAAATAAATAATTTCTTAGAAGGAAGGAGGAAATTTAATTCATAAGCAAAGAAGGAAGGAGGAAAAGAGAAAAAAGAAATAAAAGGAAGGAGGAAAGAGAAAAATAAGCAAAAAGAAATAAAAGAAGAAATAAATTTTTTACTGTCCAAATATTTAAAAAAAAAAGGAAAAGGAAAAAATGAGAAAAAAAAAATTCCAAATTTTTAAGAAAAATAAATTAGTGATTTTCCAATTTAGCTCAGATGAATTTATAATTGACAAAAATTTCTTTAAATGCAGTGAGGATCGAAATCAAACAAGGAATCAAAATTGTTCCAGCAAGACAAAAGTGGTCAACCAAATATTAATTTCTCAAGGTTCCATTATGTTTTCAAAGTGTAAAAAATATATGTTACAGGCTTGAAAATTTAATTTTTTTTAAAATGAGGAAAATTTTCACTGTACTCAGTTTATGTTTTCAATATGAAAAATTTTAACCATTTTTTGAAAATTATTTGCCCAAGAGAGAAATAAATAAAATATTGAAAATCTGAACATAAAATTTAATGAGAACTAGATGATTCCTATCCATAAATATTTCCATTAATTTTGGAAAAAAAAATTGATTTTTTCCTAAGCTCATGGCATCTCATAAATTAATTTATTTCCCAGTCTTTTTTGCAGGCAGGCAGCTCAAATTAATAAAAAAAACTTTTAAAATTTATGTTTTAAAAAAAAAAACGATTTTTTTGTCTAATCAGTCGATTGGGAATTTTTTTTTGGAAGGTGTAAATTTAATAAATCTGTATTTTTTCGTCCAGTAATGAAATTTTTTATTTTGGTAAAATTACATCAAATTTTCCATATCATTTTCATTTTTACTGCACGGTAATGTAATAACAGATGAACCTCATTTTTCCCTTATTTATGTTTTTTTCCAAAAGGTTTAATGAAAAAAAATTTTAAAAAAAGTTTAAGAGCCAAATTCGTTCAAAATAAACATCAGGAGATTTTCATCAAAAAGATATGTAGTAATAGCATAAAATTTTACAAAGATGGAATTATTAAAAAATTCAAAATTTTAACGTTTTTTTGTCGTTTTTGAAAATTAAAAAAAAAAAATTTTTGTAAAAAGAAAAAATTTTAATTTTTTTTTCTAAACCAAATATATATATATATATATATATATATATATATATATATATATATATATATATTATTTATATATTATTTGTAAACAAATAAAATTGTTTTTTTTGTTTAATTGACGTTGCTTCTAAATCTTTGTTGATATAATTTTTTTATGAATATAAATTGAAAAAGTCTCCCAGTTTATTTATTCATTTCATCCATATCAGAACAAAAAAAAAAATTTTTCTTCATAATTTGTTTTCCTTTTTTAATAATAATAAAATCATGATTTTCATTTTTGCTTTCAAAATTTTAATTTTTCAATGTGTTTTTTTTGTTTTAAAACTATAATATATTTTTATTTTGAAAATTTAATTGCTTTTATGCCATAATATGGTTTCTGTAAATTAAAATTATATATATATATATATATATATATATATATATACACATAAAAGAGAAATAATAAATTGTGTTAATCCAGGTAGTTTCTATTAGTCAAAACATAAAATTTTAAATATGTTTAAAAGTACTTAAAAAGGGCATCTATATATATATATATATATATATATATATAAATTTTGGTTTATTAAATCCAATTTTGATGTTTGCTAATTTTGAATTTTTAAAGGCAATCCCAAAAATGGACAAAAAGGCTATACAAACAATATAAAAAAAAAAATGTGCCATTTATGGAAATGGTGCTATATTTGAAGGACTGTCCAAAATGGTTTTTTTTTGTTCAGAAAAAAGAAATTTTGGTTTGAAGCCTAAATAAGTTTTTTTTTGATAAAATTTTTATTGCAAAGAATTTTATAAAAAATAAATATTTAAAATTTTTTTTAAAAAATTTTTTTTTTATATATTAAACAAGATAAAAATATATATAATATTTAAAATTTATTTTCCAAACATGCTTTAGAAAAAAAATTTAAAAGTAAAAATTTCTAAATTTCAAAATTTAAAAAAAATTTTTTACAAATTTAAAAGGCTGATTTTTTTTTCATTTTTAAAATGATGAAACATTATTAGTTTAAAAAAAGTTTTTTTAAATATTTTACTTTAACATTGCATTAAAATATTATTTAAATATCTTTTTAAAGGAATTTTATTTAAATTTGAGAAAACTTGGATATGTAAATTAAATGAGTTATTTGCTTTTGTTTTTAATGGAAAATATTTGAATAAAAAAAAAAAGAGTTTCAAAATTCTACTGCTCAAAATAGAAAAAAACAATTTTTGTTTTTTTTTTTTTTAAGAATTTTAAAATTTATTTGATGATGAAAAAAATTTAATTTTTAAAAATTTCTGTGAATTTTAGAAATTAAAACATAAAAAAAAAAAAAATTGATATATATTTAATACGAAAATACTTGAAACACTTTTTTTATGCAGGCACATTTGTAATAACACCCACAGAACCCTCTTTTTTTTTTTTAATGCAAAAATAAATATGTTTAGACCTTTCTAATTAATTTTGTTTTTGAGAAGAAAAAATATAATCAGGCATTATAATTTTATTAAACATAATAAAATTAAAAATATATAAATTAAATTTATAAAATATCAAATGAATTTGTGATTTCATCCAGATAGATCAAATTTTGAAAGTTCCCAAAAATACTGTTATTTCATTTTTTCAAGTCTCAAGACAACATATGGTTTGGTTTTTAGTTATTTCTTTAATTTGAAAACCTTTTTTTATAAAAATCTCTTCAGGCCTATAGAATTTGCAATCAAGAAAAATTAAAAAAAAAAATTGAAAAATTCATTCTCAACCATTTTGTAGTGAAATTTTGTTTATTTTTTTCATTTCATTAATTTCAAACTTTTTCCAACAAATCATTTTTTTTTTTTCCATGTCTATAATTAAATTAAATTTTTTTTTAAATTAAAAGAAAATTCAATAAATCATTTATTTTTATCAAAAAAAAAGATGAATAAAAAATTGATTCCTTAAAATTAAAAAATGTCATTACCTTATTTTTTAGGTGCATATTTTTTTTTTGTTTGGATCAATCCAATTTTTGAAATTTACAATACCTGTATGAAAAAAAAACCTGAAAAAGAAAAAAAAAAAAACACTTTAATCATGAAATGTAAATTGTTTGGTTAATAATTGAATTTTTTATAAAAAAAAAACCCAAAAAAAAAAGTTTCTTTTTTTTTTTAAAAAATATAAAAAATAAAAAATAACCTTATATTTTGTTTAATATTTTTTTTTTTTTTATTTTTTAGATATAGGGTATTGAAAATAAAAAAAAAAAGTAAACATTTTCTTTCATTTTTTAGTCTTTAAAAATTTCAAAAATGGAAAGATTAACAATCAAAAAATGTGTTAAAGTTATCAAATAAAATTATGATAAATGGACTTTCAAATTTATAAATAAAAAAAATAATGATTCCATCTTAGCAAAAAATGCAAAATTTAAACAGTGACTTTTGTGGATGCAATGGTTTTTAACAATCTTCCTTGGATTTTCATCATGCCCAAATGTGATAAATCTCTTTTATTTTTTTGATGAATTTTTAAAGATGAAAATTTATCTTCATTTAGGATATAGAGGATATTTTATGAAAAAAATTCATTGGCTTTGTTTTGTTTTTTGCTTCAAATTAAAAATTTGTTGTAGTTATTGTTTCTGTTTAATTTTTAAGCATGTCAAAATAAAAATCTTTTTGTCAAAATTTGATGTTGTTTTTTGTTAATGGTTCAAAATGTGCAAGGGGATGAATAGAGGTGTTTAAATTTCAACCAAATTCTTTTGCACTGCAGCAATTTTTTCAGCTTTTGAATGGTGAAAAATTTTTTCATTCAATGTTTTCAAATATGCCAAATATTTTTAAAAAATATTCAATGAATTTACAAATTTTGGTTTTTAGTTGCATTCTCAGTTTTATTAACATTATTTTTTTAAAAAAAAAAACATTTTTAAAAAAAATGTTTGAAAATCCATTTTTACCAAAAAATTATTATGTCCATTTTCATAATAATTTTTAAAAATTTCAAATTGTTTGATTTTAATCTTTAAATGTAAATTCTTTTGAAATTCATGCAATACAAAAGTTGTTAAATTTGAAAATTTGAAGATTATTTTTTTTTGAAAATCATTGATTTTTCAAATTATATTTTAAAATCTGTCCAAGTTATTGGAACACTTTTTTTTTTTTTTTTTTTTTTTTTTAAGCATTTCACCCAAGCAAGCAAGGCGGGAAGCCACTAGGACGCAAGGGGTTACAGAAAATTTGGAGCAAGATCAGATAGGAGTGATAGAAGAAAGGATGAGGAGAAGGATAGTGGATAGATCAAGGCAACTGGAGATGTCGATTGACATTACATTTGAATAGCTGGAGATTATAGCTCTCAGGGAAACTGGAATAGGGAAGGGAGTTCCACAGGCGAGAGGTGCGAGACATGAAGCTATTGGAGTAGAAGAGACGGCTACATTTAGGAGTTTCGACAGTGAAAGGGGTGAGAGCGGGATGCCAGCCTCGTAGGGCGCTTGAACTCATGAAGTCTGGGAACCAGCGAATGCAGCTCCTCGGAGCAATTTCCATGAAAGTATTTGTAAAACAGACAGAGAGAAGCAACGGCGCGTCTGTGAGAAAGTGACTGTAGACGAGATGCCAGAGCAAGGCCAGTTATATTGCATATTCGCCTCTGGAGCCTATCAAGAACCCCAAGGCAAACAGAAGGGGCACCAGACCATATATGGCAGCAATACTCCATGCAAGGGCGAATTGTTGATTTGTAGATCTGGAGGATCGATTCCGGGGAGAAAAATTTCCTGGCGCGGCACAGGGAGCCAACTTTCCTTGCTGTGGACGAAGCAATTGACTCAATGTATTTGTTCCATCTCAGGTCAGCAGTCAACGTGAGACCGAGCAGCCGCAGAGAGGTGCTCTCGAGCAGTTGAGCGTCAGACATTCTAATGGAGGGCAAGGAAGGATCTCTGTGGTGATTAATAGAGAACAGTTTTGTTTTTGAAGCATTAAAGTTGACAAACCAATTCTTGCCCCAATTAACAACCGATTGGAGGTCCATTTCAAGACGCACGGCCAGGTTAGTTTTGTCAGCGACACTAGATTTGTTTTTGAGGCAGGAATAAATCGTGGTGTCATCCGCGTAGATGCCAACTTGGGAATTTATGGAGTCAGGAAGGTCATTTATGTAGATAAGGAATAGAGTGGGGCCTAGGATGGAGCCTTGAGGAACACCTGCGTTCGTGGGATAGGAACTGGAGGAGAATCCGTTGAGAACGACCTTCAATTCACGGTTTGACAGGAATGATCGTATTAGGTTATATAATCGACCCGTAATGCCATAACCCTGGAGCTTGCGAAGAAGGCCGGCATGCCAAACCCTATCAAATGCTTTGGAGATGTCTAGTGCCACAGCACGGGCTTCCCTGTTATTTTGAAGAGCTCGGTAAACAGTTTCAGTGATGGCCGTAAGCACATCAGCTGTAGATCGGGCAAAGCGGAAACCATATTGCTTGTCTGAGAGCAGATTATGGGATGTGAAGAGGTTAACCACCTCGGTATTGATTATGGCTTCAAAGACTTTGCCGAAGAGGGGAAGGAGACTGATAGGACGGTAGTTGGAAGGGTCAGAGGGGTCGCTGGAGTTCTTGAAGACAGGAACAATCGAAGAGGACTTCCAGCAGTCAGAAAAACAAGATTCCTTGAGGCAGTAGTTGTATAGTTTCGAAAGGGCGGGCGCCAGTTCAGGCGTGCATTTCTTCAAGACAATGGCTGGTATCCCATCACCACCACTAGCCTTGTTGGGGTCTAAATTGAAGATAACGCCCAATACCAAAGACGGAGTTATGTTTAACCCACTCAATAGTGCCTCAGTTCTATGAGGGAAGTCGGGTGTGGGTACACCGGAAGAGTCAAACGTCGAGTTGAATGAAAATTTCTGAGCAAAGCATTCGGCCTTGTCGGTAGAGGAGGTCAGGACATGGAACTAGTTGAATAAAGGAGGTATAGAGGGTTTGCAATTGTTCAATACGCTCTTGCAGAGATGCCAATAATCTTTGGAGCTAAATTTGCGAGATGCAATACGCTTCTTCATCCGCAAATAGTGACTTAGCATCGTTGAGGACACGCTTACACTTGTTACGGGCGGAGACAAATAGACTATTGCAGTCAGACATGTCGCTACGGAACAGGTGGAAGTAGTGGTTCCTATGGGCGATGGCGGCTGAGCAAGCAGCGGAGAGGAGCGCGACTTGACCCTATATTTCCTTGATGGGATGAAAGCGTTGATTCCATCTTTAACCCAGGATGAGACCTCAGAAGCACATTCTTGGACGGGAGCGTAAAGACTCCATCCCAGGGGACATCATGGAGGAAATTTGCGGAACGCGTCCCAGTCAGCTTTATTGATAGTAGAACAAAGTTCTAGTGGTAGGTGGTTCATTATAGGAGTGGAGTTAAAGGAGATGCTAACAGATACTACCGCATGATCAGAGTTACCAAGAGGGCTGAGTTGCGAGGCGCTGCAGGACTCGGGGATGGAGGTAAAACACACACGAGAAGAGAGGCTTTTTAGCCCCCCATTGAAAGGCAAAATGAGTGGAGAAGTTAACTATCTGCGTGAGGGACTGAGAGACTGAAAAATTGAGCGTTTGAATGCCTGCATGGTCAGTAGTAGCATTCTTAAGCCACTTCGTATGATGGGTGTTAAAGTCGCCAAACACAAATATGTGAGCAAACGGGTGGAAGGAGAGAGCCTTGTCTATGTTGTCAGAAATGCTATCAAGTATCTCACAGTCTTGAGTGGATGGAGAGCGGTAAAGGAAGAAGAGTTAGCTTACAGCATTGAGGAGAGATAGTCGGAGACACATGTATGACTGGTCTGGCGATTCAAGAGAGAACTCTCTGGCCAGAGGGAGATGTTCCTTGACGTAGACACCAAGAACGTGCATGTGGGTTAGAGAGTCTTTTCTGAGGAGAGGAAGGTAGCTGGTGATCGAGAGATCAGAAGAGGGGATAGATCGAGACAAGCTTGGTCTCACAGAGAGCCAGTATATCCGGGCAGTTTGCAATGAGGAAAGATTCCATACTGCAAATATAGTACTAATGCCATTGGATGTTGGAGAACGAAATGTTGAGGGGTTTAGTTGATTTTTGAGTGGCTGGTTTAGGGTTACTTTTTCGGTTTTGTAAGTCATGTGAAATTTTGTTTGGAAGATGAGATGGCCCGAAGTAAAAGAAACAGTTGTTTCTCTATGACATATCAACACCTCTATGGGCTATTTAATGCTGAAATCTAAATATTTTGTATACAATTTTATTTTATTTTTTTTAGATAGTAATGTTTTTAGTAGAAGATTGGTTTTGTGTTACAATTAAGAGTATTTGCACATAAGTGAATATAATGAACCTGACTGGAATTGAAACTCAGTCCTCCACTTAAGAATTTGAAGCCATCACCCATCATCATCATCCACCTTCACCATCCCTGTGATTGGTCAGAACTCCATTAATAATCCTTTTCCACACTGCTCGGTCCTGCATTGCCAGTCCCCAATGTGCAACCCTGAGTCCTGAGCCATGAAGTAAGGATTAGACAACCTCCCTATCAGCTTGGTTGCAGTGGCCATCAAACTGCAATCACTTATAGAACCTGGTATTCCCAAGCAGTTACCCATCTAGGTACTGACCAGGCTTGCTGTTGCTTAACTTCAGTGATCATATGTGATCAAGTGTTTCAACATGATATGGTTGTAAGCCTCTTAATATTCTAGTACTATGCATTTAGGCTATGAATATTTCCAATATAATTCTATACCTACATATATATCATATTAAAACACACCCAAATTTGGCCGTCCTGGGTATAATGATAAACTATATCCACGTCCTGAGTAAGACAATAAACTACATCCAACAGCAAGGCCTCTGATCAGGAGGTTTTTACGAGCGTGGAACCACCTCTTAATTGCTGGTGTTCCCAGGTCCACCCTAACCCGGGGTGGGGGCGCCTGTTGGGGTCCCAGCTTTGGGCAAATAGTTAACACCCAAACTTGTGTAAAAATAAGTTTTAATACCAGAAATAATTTAAAAAAAAAAAAATATTACCAACAATAATTTTTTTTGAAAAAAATTATTATCAGTAATTTTATTTTTAATTTTAGGAATATTACAAACAGCTAAACATTCTTTGAAAAAAAATGACCAGCTATAGATTTCTTCAAAAAAAATATTCCCAATTTTATAGATTTTAGAAGAAAAAATATTACCAGCAATAAAAAATTTAGTCGGCATTAATTTTTAGTATTGGTTGATGATGTGCCACTTGTTTTAACAAAACAAACCAAACCCAAATTTGGTTTTCTACCAGTTAGTGTATTAAACAATGGGGTTTGTAAAACCAAATTGGTGTGCCAAGAATAAATTCAATTGCAAATCTGTGTTCAAAAAGTCCAAAAGACAAAACGGTCATAAACAGTTCCGCAGTAACACAGAAAATGGGGTCAAAAATCCAACGTTCTGCAACAGAGAAAATGCACTTTTGCTCACCAAGCTCCTTTCCATGTTAATTAAAGCAACGGCTTTTATGCAGAGAACAATTTTTCTGATTGACCAATGCCGATCAGGGAGGAAAGTACATAAACATAGTTCTTCTGATACTTAAAGTGCCAGGTTTTTGCTAACAATTTTCTTTAACCCGAGAACACTAACCATGGGTATATAGTACCCAGCACAAATTTTCCTATTTTTAATTACAATTTTCAGTACCTGATTTTCTTACCTAAATAATGTTTTTCAGTTTCTATTAATGTTAACTCAAAGTAAAAAGTCTGAAGTGCCTGCATGTAAAATATTTCAAATAAGGATTTATATTTAATATATTTTTTGATATTTTCAAAATTGGGTATGATATAACCATGGTTAGTAGTGGTGTAACTTTAATTGATGGTTAGTGTTCTAGGGTTAATTTTCCTTTGACAGACCACGCACAAAACAAAATTTTTTTCTAGGTATACAATTCTTTCCTTTATTATACAACCCCAAAAACAGACGATATTTATAAACATGCCAAAAAGATTCTATAACAAAAACTGCTTAAATCAAAGTGTTTATTGGCTAGAAATTAATATCACCATGTGAAATATTTGACCAATCAGAGAAAACTAAACCTTATTTTTCTCAAGCCTACTTTTGGGAAAAATTTCTTATAAGAATTTGGATTTTGACCTTCGGAGTGCCAAGATACAGCCATCTCCAAGCTGGAAATATGAGAAGACAAAGTTTTTCTCTTCCCACCAACATGTACCGACAAAAGTTTTCTTAAATATTGTTTACCATGGAGTTCTATAAAATTAAATTAAAGGAATTATTAAACCATGAAGTAGGATTTTTGTCAAAGTATTTTTCCAAACAAATCAGCTTATTCAAATTTCATTAATTGGTTTGCAAAATTGAACAAAATGTAGAGTTTTAAAATCTTGGCAAAAAATGTTAGTGATAACTTGCATGCTACTAAATACCATGAGGATTTCAAGACATGTCAGCGGGTTGCAAAAGAATTATAGTATTAATAAATAATCAATGTGTATCATCCATTAAATTCAATGAAAGTGTCATTGTGTTATGCATTTTTAAAGTTAAACACAAATGTAAGAATTCAATATGGATACCCACAAAATAAGCAAAATAACCAGCACTTCCCCTGGCAGTGGGTGTAGGGTGGGGGCAATACAATAACAGATACTCATCTGGGTGTGGTCAAATAACAGGTACTTACCTGCGGGGCAACATAATATGGGGTAAAGTGAGGTGTCATCAGTTTGCCATTGTCAAATTTTGCAAATCCAAAATCTGTCAACTTCACCAATGCATCCTGGGAAATAAAGAGGATTTTGGGTAATTTTTTTAAAAACATTTTTTTCCCCCATCTTTTTTGTCATCTTAAATACAAACATATAAATCTAAAAAAGATGCGGATCGAGATGGAGTGTTCAGTCAACTGCTCTTAGAAGATATCGCTAGTAAGTTAGCTATATCCTAGATGCTCCACTATTTGTGACCATGTGCCAGCCTATCGAGTGTATGATCAATAATTTGATGGCAGAGAAGATTCATTGCGATATGTTACTTTTCAATGTCAATCTGACAGCAATTTTAACGATTTTGAAAGAAAGAAGATTGACTTAAGATTATTTGTACAGCGAATACTCCTTGCAAGGAAAGGCGCAAAATTCTAAAAGACATTATTATACAAAACAAACAAACCACATTAAATAAAATGTCTATCAGCACAGGATTTGGTTAGCAGCATATCAACCTCAGTGAATTATTTAATGCTAAACTCTAAATGTTTTTTTAAGCAATTTTATGGCTTCAGTTACATATATTTTGTACATAATTTTATACTTCCAGAGTAAACATGTTTTTTAGATATACACTTTGGACATGATAATTTTACTATAAAATTTTTTTAGTGTTGTATTTATTCAGTTTGATATAAAAATGAATTGTTGGCAATTCTGCTACTAAAGTGAACCGTTGGCAATTCTGCTACTAAAGTGAATCGTTGGCAATTCTGCTACTAAAGTGAACCGTTGGCAATTCTGCTACTAAAGTGAATCGTTGGCAATTCTGCTACTAAAGTGAATCGTTGGCAATTCTGCTACTATAGTGAATCGTTGGCAATTCTGCTACTAAAGTGAATCTTTGGCAATTCTGCTACTAAAGTGAATCGTTGGCAATTCTGCTACAAAAATGAATTGTTCATTTGGGGGGGTTGTAAGTTGCCCAATACTGAGAACCTAAAGGATGTTATAATCCTGAACAACAGTTATTAAGAGATGGTTACCCAAAACCTCTAATCTCCCAATCAGAGGCTTTGTTACTGGATGTTATTTATCATCACACCCAGGATTATATTCCCACACCAGAAAGTATCTTGAAGTGTGTATAAAATCTTTAACATGTGTACAAAATAATAATATACATGAATATTTGACACATGTTTTAACTGTTACACTTGACATCCCTTTATATCAATTCAAAAAAAAAAAAAAAAAAAACGTGATGATGCAGCCAACAAAATCTTGTCTACTGAAATCACCAGGTTCTTCATAATGACTGAGTCAGCTGAAAGTACTTGAATGAAAATAGAATAAAGCATAAACTTTGGACAGTCTATTGCAAATTTTGACAGATTGGTTTTTACAAATTATCAACCCTTTGCAGGTTATTTTAAGCCAGAAATTATATTTAGATTGTAAAAATGTTAGAATGTTTTTTTTGTTTTTTTTTGAGATAATGATTTAATGATAGAAATCTTACTAATTAATCTGTAGCAGGCGAAAGAAGTGGTGGATTCATACCTAACCAGAATTCGAAAAACAAGAAATTACGATGGTCAAATGTGGGATCAATTCTATATATAAATCAACATATAAATTGATCCCTAACTTTGTGGCCACGGTAGTTTCTATACATTTATATTCCAGAGAATGTAAATAAATCTAAAAGACATGCCTGTGTCAGTATTTCATTGATTGATTGATTGATTCGTTTTCTACGGCTTATCAACAACCAAGAAATTATAATGCAGATATAAATTGGGGGATCAATTCTACATTACAATCAATATATAAACTGATCCCTCACTTTGTGACCACGGTAGTTTCTATACATTTATATTCCAGAGAATATAAATAAATCTAAAAGACAAGCCTGTTTAGCTAATCAGTATTTCATTGATTGATTGATTCTTTCTACAGCTTAACCACCAAGAAATTATAAGTGGATATAAAGTGGAGGATCAATTCTACATAACAAGCAATATATAAACTGGTCCCTCACTTTTTGGCCAATGTAAGTTTATATATTTATATTCTAGGGAATGTAAATAAAACTAAAAGCCTGAGTAACTAATAGATATTTCATTTTTTGATTCATTCATTTTCTACAGCTTATCAGTCCTTTGTAGGTTATTTAAAGCCAGAAAATATTTTCAGAATTTATTTTTGACATAATAATTTAATGATACATGCCCTACTTTTTATCTATAGAAGACATAAATTCATACCCTTTCCTAAGGATATTTGCACTTAAGTGAATATAACGAACGCAACTGGAATTGGAACTCAGCTCTCTGGTTAAAAATTCCGAGCCATTATCCATTACACCACCCGCACATCACATCTTAGAGCACTTGGTATTCCCAAGTGGTCAAACATCTAGGTGCTGACCAAGCTTACGGTTGTCTAACTGCAGCGGTCATACAGAAACTGGTGTTTCAACGTGATATAGCTATAAGCTTATTCCAAACTTTAATTCCAATTTACATTATTTCATTTGAAAGATTGAAAATACAACAAAAAACTGAAACGGACATACTTTGCTTGCTGAATTTACAAAGATTTGGATGGCAACCAAAATAACAGCATGACAAATTTCAAGAACGCCAAATCATATTTACCTCAGAGTTATCTTTCAAGAGAAGGTTTTCAGGTTTCAAGTCTCTGTGAGCAATGTTTAAACTGTGGCACCGTTTTATTGCTGAAGCAATCTAGAAAAAAAAAAATAAATAAATTCGATAAAAGTTATAGTCAAAAACAAAATTATTTGTACACCCATCAATTTTTAATATTTTTATCTATTGCTAAGAATCTAATGCCATATGATGCCAGCACTTATGACACCACATGTGCATCTGCAGTAATATATATATATATATGTATTTAAAGATATTTTTGTAGGTACAAAATTTAATGATCGAAATAAAAGTATAAAAAAACAATATTACGAGACATATTAAAAAACGGGTGAAGTAACCCGGTTTCGCTCCCACTCTTCAGGCTTCAACGGGAGATTTAATTTAAAATTAACACAGAAAAATGTACAATAAAAGGAAGTTGTGGGAGGAGAAAAAAAAATAGCAAAAGGAACTAGAGACAAATGACAGCGAGCCCCAACAAAGACTCATGTTGTTTACACAAAGAAGCCTTAAGGGACCCGATGTAAAGTGCCTATGCGAACACCTATTAAAGAACAGAGGTTATGCAGCCAAATTTAGTGCTGACTGGTTCGCCGTGTTGTCCCAGTCACACTCTTTATTTCATCTAAAGGTTCTAGAGGCATAGTACTTGTTGCCAAAAGCAATTTTCTTTGTCCAAGAACGTTTTGGCAAAATTAAACCGAGCAACAATGTGACATGATTTGTGAAGTGGCATTTGTCGTGGTCGGTTTCCATACCAATTTCTATTGAAACATCGTTGTATTGTGTGAGTACTTAGGCTGATACCCATTGTATCCAAATATTTGTCAATGTCTTTCAACACAGTTTTCATGCAGTTCTCGGTGACAATTTGGGTTTTCTTCCACACCCAGGCAAATTCCCTGTCATGCCAAACTGTTTAAACTTCTTTATAACGGACTGTACCATAGCTCTAGGGATAGCTAACCGGTTTGAAATAGTGCCGTAACTATTTCTCCACTGGTGGAAGTTAATAATTCACTGTCTCAAGTCAACACTAAGCTCCTTTATTTTCTCTATCGTGTTGTTAACATAAGAATAAGAATAACAATGGTAACACTCTATGCACCATGTGATGTTCTTTGCTGGAATTATCACAAATATTCTACTAAATAAATAGTCAAGAAGGCTTCACCGATAAAATAATTATGTAATTTACACAAATCAATCAATTTAAAATTATATTTTCTACTGTATAAATAATTTTGCATAATTCGCCTGACAATTTTGTTGTATTTGACCTCTTGTTTTGAAAATTGAGTTTTATATTCCTTTCTTTGTGTTTATTAACATATAAAAACCTGGCATCATACAGGCATCAGATTCTGAGAAATGGATAAAAATATTCAAAATTGATGGGTGTATGAATAAAAATGGAGTGTCTACTTCAAATTAGAAGTGTCCACTAATATATATATATATTTCGATAAACGTGCAATCAATTTACAAATTCATGAATTATTCACACAAAAACAAATGCAAAGTTTAATGATTTAATTGGCGAGAAATCCATCGTCGCAAACAATTCAAATAATATACAAAAACCTCCGAATCCGTTATGAATGAAAAGATCCTTGTTTCCATAAATTTCTGCCGCATTAGTTCTTATTTTTACTACAAGCTTTCGTCTGTTCCTACAGACATCTTCAGGTATGGAATAGATGTTGTTCTTGTTTTTTCTCTTAGTAATAAGAGGACAACGAAAATATATATATTGTTGTATCCGAAAATGCTATTGGAAATGAGTTATTGTTTTTGGAGCGTGCAATAGCTGAACCTTCTTGCTTTAGAAAATGAACTTTCTAAAGCAAGACGTTCATTTCTGCTTGCTTGTAGCAGTAAACTACAGAAATGAATGTCTTGCTTTAGAAAATGAACTTTTGTCTGTAGTTTTTATTTGTTTTTTTATTTGTTTTTATCTTTTTAACATGAATCTTTTAACAATCCTTGTGTTGGTCAAAGTTCCTGGAGAGGGGATGTGTCTCTTAAGTGTTTGTGTTATTTAGTTCTTAGGGAGTGATATATATATATATATATATATATATATATATATATATATATATATATATAGGCAGCATATTTTCATTCAAACAGATTTAGTTAAATAATTTAGACATACCATATATATATACTCACAAACAACTTAACCCCATAAAGATGTTCTCAGATGAGAGTGAAAGTACTTGGGAAAATAAAAACTATTTGAAAGAAAATTTTGGTATTTTTCTTAACCGATTTTGTAAGGCTACCAAGAAATGAATTTGAAAACTTGTAAGGATCACAATGAAAACTAATCGACATGATATGTCTAAATAATTTAACCAAATCAGTGTGAATATATATCTCCAAGTCTAAGGTAGGTTAATACCAATGTCCAGACATCATATTTTAAAAAAGTGCTCAATACAGACTAGAGATTAATAATAATAATAATATTTAAACAAACCTGTTTGAATGGATTATATATATATATTAGTCGTTGACTCTCCCGTCGAATTCGATGTAAGAGGGTCAAGCAGATCAGTTTCCAGGAAACCGACAGCCCGACAACAGCACATGAGATTTGATTATAGGGGTGAAGGCCTCGTGCAGGACCATCGACACTTTTTGAAGGGCCGAATTCAGAGACCTGGTGCACCGAATGCCACAAGGTTCCCAAGCGACCCTCCGCAGGTTTTGAATTCAGAGTTGTCCTTCTCCTAGACCAGTTGCCATCCAAGGCTATAGGACTCAGTCTGTCCTGCTATTTTACCCATAGCTGGAGGGAGAAGAAGAGGATTCATACCTTTCCCAAGAGTATTAGCACATAAGTCAATGTAAAGGATTCAACTGGAATTGAACTCAGCTCTCAAATTTACTCAATCCAAGCCACCATCCATTACTCCACCATGCCTCCTCATATATATATATATATATATATATATATATATATATATATATATATATATATATATATATATATATATTTTTGACCATATGTGTCGTCGTCCTCCGCCCAATCTCTCTACCCCTCAAAAACTTGTATAAAAATAATAATATGTAAATTTTAAACTATTTTCTTTTATGCTTGGAAATGTGATCTGGGGTACCAGGAAAAAAGAAAATTACTCTCCTGAGGAAATAAAATGTAATCAATGGACCCTTAAGGTTGTCCGTTTTTAAATTAATATTTGCTCTGGTTTTACATTGAGCTCTCTGGATTACATCCTCCTTGGGTTTATCAATACAGATTACCAAACATTTCATTTATATATATATATATATATATATATATATACACACACACACACACAGAGACTACCATTCAAAAGTTTGAAGCTACCCACAGAATTAGCATGTGATGAACTTGACAGAAGAGTGAAAAAAAAAAAAAATGGAATCAATTGTCAAACATATACTTTGCGAAATTTTTACAATGTATGCCAAACATTTGTGCTGCAGTAACAAAGCCAAAAGGAGGATATTTTGACAAGAGCAAAATTTAATTAGGAAATGCTTTTTTCTTTTTGTCATAATTTTTAAAGTTCTATAAGATTTCTAGCTGTTTTACTTTTGTTTTTTAATTTTCCTAAAATAAAAAATATACTAAAAATAAAAAATATTAAAAGAAATATTAAAAAAAAAATAAAAATATATTAAAAATCTTTTTTTTTTTTTAGATAAGTGAACGACTTTTTTTTTTTTTTTTTAAAGATTTTGAACATTCAAATTTCCTACGTACCTGTTTCATATAAAACGTGGCTCGCTTTTCAGTAAAACATCTCTCCTTGCTGATTCGATCAAACAATTCTCCACCCTCCATCAGTTCCATGACCATAAGTAACCGAGGTCTGCAATGGAGAGAAACAATCTTTAGGATATCAACCATGGTTCATATTCAATAATTAAAAAAAAAAAAAAGAAAAAGAAAACAGTATAAAAAAAGAGTAAAAGAAAAATCTAGATGCTCAGAAGATGAAAAATCACTAGATCTTTTCTAAAATTTCTTTGACAAGAATTCCAGGTGATTGTCATACTTAGCAAAGCTAACTCTTGTGTAGCATCTTGAGCAGCCACTCTGATCAACAGTTGCATAATACCGGGGTGTCTGTAGTGCCATGTCGCACATGGATAGATGTTCCTGCATTCACCTCTGGTGATCAACCCTGAGGCCACATTATGTTGCAGGCTGTGCTAACTTCTCTCTGCCCACCTCACGGTTATTTAGCCATCTGCTTTTTTTACTTCAAACTGGCAATATTTTTACAGCCACAATTTCACATAATAATTAACGGTATGATCCAAAAAGAAAAAATAAACCAGCCCCTAAAAAAAAAAAAAAAAAAAAAAAAATCACCTAAACCCTTTAAATATTTCATTTTCCAACATCCGTGTCAACTGTTGAAACTGTTAAATGTAGACGTCTCTTCTATTCCAATATCTTCATGTCTCGCACCTCTCACCTGTGGAACTCCCTCCTCATTTCATGTTTCCCTGATAGCTATAATCTCCAACTATTCAAATGTAATGTTAATTGATGCCTCAGATGTCTTGATCTATCCCCCATCCTTCTGTTCATCCTTTTACTATCTATCACCCTATTTGCCCTAGCTCCAACTCTCTGTAACCCCTTGCATGCTAGTGGCTTCTATTGCTTGGGGTGAAACCCTTAAAAAAAAAAAAAAAAAAAAAAAAAAAAAAACTATAGTTTAGGTATTGGCAGTGCTTTTTAGCTCTTTCTGGTGTGACAACCAGCGGACTTCTGTGTAGAATGGAACATCTCATCTAGTTCTTATTTTTAGTACCGATCAGATAATGCTTGCTCTTTGTCCACTGAGTCCAAGTCTGTATTGCTGTGCCCAGGGATTGAATTCACAATTATTAAGTTGCTGTCACACCAGGCATTGCAGATTTTTATTTAGTGGCGACAGGAGCAATCACTAACTGAGCAATATCAAGAACAAAATGAGATATCCTTAGACATGAAAAGCAAAACAAGACCAATCTACCTTGCCAGACTGAATAAAGGTTTCAGTTCATAATTCCATGAAGGTTATCCAGATCAAGAGACACCTGATGATGGTCGGAGAGTACAACAGTCAGAACACTGTGATAATAAGAACAAAGATGAAGACAATAGTTCACATGTAATATAAATACTGACGGACATATATCATCATCATCATCATTTGACCTACCTATGACAATCCCTTTCCACACTGTTCAGTCCTGTATTGCTGTCCCCAGGTCCCCAATGTCAAACCCTGAGCTATGGTGTCAGTTTTCACGAGAGGACACTTCCGGAAGGATGCCATAGGAGTAAGGATGAGACAGTTTCCCTGTCTGCTCAGTGGCAGTGGGGAATCGTTTTAGTTTGAGCTCAAGAGAGATCAGTTTTCTGTAAATTGTGGTAAGTGTTGCATGGGATCTCCAACTGATGTTCTGGATTTTTCTATGTTCTATCCAGTCTTTCAAGATAAAGATAATGTCCAAGTTTCTGATCCATAAATTAGGACTAGTTCAATGTTTGAAAAGTTTGGACTTTTAAGGAGGATGGAAAATTCGAGCGCCAAATCTTGTAAAGTTTTTTTTTACCTGTATCCCATGCAAGACCTTTGTAGATGTTGAAGTCTTTCTGGAAATCTATTATGTGAAATCCAAGATATTTGAAGTCCTCAACTTTTTTGATGTATTATTAAGTGACTTCAACTCAGATGGTTCAGGGGAGGTTGTTTAAGTATCTGTCTTTACTTGTAAAAAGCAAATTATTTAAACGTCCTCAAATTGAAAAATAATAGTTGTCACTTTTGAAACCTTGGAAGTACCATAATGGACTAACCGATAAGGACTACAAGAAGAAGAATGTTATATTATTTTGATATCTTTTCTTGGGTGACAAAAAACAAAAAGGAATAGTGATGAGAGGTCGTCCGTCGGCAATCAATCTCGGATGCCATTTTGCTCGTTTTTACTGTCATAAAGTGTCCGTTCAAAAAAAAATCAGAAACTGGTTTTATTTCAGGTTCACAAAATTTTTTTGTTTTTGTGTCGCAAACAGTGACATTTTTTTATTTTTGGTAATTGCTCATGTTGCAATAGAGACCTACCTGGTTCATTGCTTGCTCGAGTGATTGCAGTTAAGTGGCACACATGACACACATTTAGGCGATCATGTCTGATGAGGCATAAGATTTTCCCCCGCAATAGGTTGGCATTTCTTTCCACAATAGGCTGGTTGCCAAATATTCTCTACTCTTTAACTTCTCTCCCACAGGCAGGATAAGACAAGCCTCTTGCTGCTCTACCGCTACTTCTATAGAAAGTGCTTTGACAAACTACATTCCCTTTTCCTTATTGTTTTACAACAAAAAACTGCCATAAACCTTATATTCCTCCATATCCCATTGCTGTGATATACCACTGTGAGAGAGAGGGAAACCTGTTGACGCCCTCTGAGGGGATTTGGTGTTTTTTTTTATCAATATTTAAAAGGAAGAATTTGGGAGGACTATTCCTTAAAGCAGAAAAAATGGACTTCCAAAATGGAAAATAATAAAATTTTCCTGTCCGAAAACAAAGAAAATCCTTATTGTGGATTTAGAATTATCGAGGAACCCCAAACCCGACAAGCCCACACCCCAAATTTGGTTTGCTGTCCATATAAACAGAGAAATCATTTAGAGTTAGAGAGTTCAACAGAGTTCCGAGGAAGCTTTTTGTTTGAGTTGAGCTGTGAGCTCTGAGAAAATTCCACTGGAAGAGCTTCTTTCCCATGAACCACTTATTTGTGGAACTGACTCCCCAACTCGATTTTCCCTTATCATACAATTTTTAATTTGTTCAAGGCTAAGATAATTGTTATCTTCCACACCTATACAAAAATATTTTCAAATGTAATCCTTCCTCAAAATTCTTGTAAAAAAAAAACTAAAAAAAAAAAAAGGCTATAGAAACTTTTTGGTAGATATGCATTCTTTAATCCTTCCTAAGATCATGATACCTATCCAAACTGAAAAATATTGATTATTTATTAGCTTAGAAGTGGAGGTCATGTTTATAATATCAATACAGGGTCAAACCAATCCTTGACTTCTGCGGAGTTATTGGCCTTAGTTGTTTTACCTATTAAAAAAAACAAAAAAAAACAAACACTTTTTTTAGTGGGTGGGTACCAAAGTTGTTTTTTTTTTAAATAAAGACCAGATAAAGAGTGCGATAGATGAAGTGTCGTCTAAATAGCATAAAAATGAAAATAACACCGACATCTCATTTGAACAGATATATTTAACAAAATTACGCAAAAATATCTTGAAATGCTAAAGAACAAATTTATTCAATAAAAAATCACAATTGGCCTCCAGACGACTTCAGAATCTTCGGCATCTCTTCTGAACAGTCTCCTTGTTTAAGTTATTAAATGCCGCTATAATCCTTGCCTTCAGTTCATCTTTGGTGCTACAAGGAGTTTTGTTGATCTCTTGCTCAACTGTGCCCCACACATAATAATGAACAGGATTGCAGTCTGGGGAATTAGGTGGCCAGATATAAGGGGTGATGTGCAAGTTCTCCTGCTTATGTAGCATGGTGCAGAGTCCTGTTGCCAGACATAGGCTCTTCCAGCAGCCACCCTCTTGACCTAGGGCAGCACTACCTCCAACAAGGCACTCTGTTCATTGAGGCTGAGGTCCTGTGATTGAAAAAGTGGAAAAAAAAAAAATCACTAGCGATCACTCCAAAGACCTTTGTAATCACCATTAGACTCATCCAACTCTTTTTGATTCCTCTGCCCTGTCCTCAAATTGACACGCAAACAATGTTTGTATTGGAGTTTCTATTGTGAATGCCAAGCAGTACAACATGTCATTCCCAAATTTCTGGCAAAGTGAATTGCGTTTTAAAAATGCTGCACTTTTTACCCACTAGGGATTATTAACTGACCCTACTATGCTGTAGTCGAAAAAATCAAAAACTGTTTTGCATAAAAAAATTAAAATTATAAAAATGGCGACAATTTATTCCATCGTACCCTTAAAGTCGTAATTAAATTTCAAAAAAAAAAAATAAAAATAAACGAAGAACAAGATATTTCCGACATGAACAGCAGAATTAAAAATTTAACAGAAAAGTTAACTGATCAAGGTGACAATGGGCTCTTTAAAGAACCTAATCAAACAGCCAAAACATTTTTGACAATAACTTTTAAAACAAGGACAATAATCCACATGAAGTATTGATATACCTATATGTATATCAATCCAATTAAAGTGCTATATGTCATACATTTAGGCAAACAAGTTTAAATTTTAAAATTATGATTGAATATTGTAAAGATTTTCTCAAGAATGGGTTGCCATTTTTTTTTTGCAAATAATGTTAATTTTAATCTTTATTTGGGAATGACTGCAAAAACACATGCCCCTTCCCTTTTATGGAAAAAAAAGACAAATGCATGCTTGGATATTTTTTTCCTTAACCATAAAATTAGGTACCTCCACGAAATCGCTAAAAAAAAAGCATAGCTTGATGAAAAAACGCGCCAACCTTGCCAAAACTAAATTTTATTGTCTAAATGCTTATGTTATTATTTAGAGGAAAGACCAAAGTTTTTTTTTATTATTTTGAAAAAATTTTCCTTCTTTTTTAGAAAATTCTAAATTTTGATTAAAAAACCTTGTTTCTATTTGTATCAGCGGAACTAGTAAATAACATAGACAATTTTTAGCACGTTTTTTTGGTATGACACACATTAATTTGAAAAATCGTGCAAAAATAGAAATAATTATCGGATGTTAATGAAACTTTCAGGAACTATTCACAGATGATCGAAATTATTATAAATATGTTTTTTTTTTTATGAAAGTCATGGTAGAAATATTTTTTTTAAATATTTATTACCCCCCCATAACTAATTTTATGAAAACGCTAGAAATTCGATCGCATCGGTTTTAGTGATTACAATAATTAAAAGCACAGGGCTTTGAGGAATGCAAATCATGTTTTTTTTTTTTTTTTTTGGATACCCAGTACCTGAAAATCAGCTCTGAATTGTAACATACAAAACTCAATAAAACAAAGATATTATTTAATTTCAAATGCTTTTATTTGCTTTTAGTTGTTTTTATGAATATGGACAATATTTTCTGAAAGCAAAAAAAATTTTTTTTCTTGAAAATGAATTTTTAATACAATTATTTGTTATTTCATTAATTATAATAGATTTTACATTTAAGTTGTTAAAATATTATAAAATTAGTTAAAAGCCGCACAGGCTTTCATAAGTGTCCTTATGAGATAGATCTTTTTTTAGTGCGTTGTAAATTGTATCATTTTGACTAATCAGAAGATCCCCAGTAATTAAGAAATGTAATTTTGTGCTTATAATCGAGCTGTAATTATAAAATACGGAAGACCAACCAGAATATAATTAAGTTGCGTTATTTGAGTTAAGCATTGTTCTCCGCTGTTAAGGCCTTTACTTTTAATGCGAAAACACGTGTGGAGAAGTTAATTTGATTTTTCAATTTCAACTGAGAAGGGTTACCTACAAGTATCAGTATCATCTTATGAAATTTATATGATCTTATTTTTATATTAATCTCAGTTATGACATTTTTAAATAAATGAAATATCAAAATTAATAATAAAATGAATGCAAATGCAAATAACAGTAGAATGTAATAAATGTACATAAAATTATAGTATTTTATGTACAATTCTGATAAAATTTCATAAGAAAGGTACCTATAAATTAATTAGATACCTTTCTTAAGAAATATGAAATTTAATGTCACTCTTAACAGTTTTATTTTAATTTCTTTAGAATATATTTCCCATAAAGCATCATAAACGTAAAGGTGAAAGCTAAGTACAAAAAAAAAAAAAAAAAAAGACACGCTGAAAGTTTTTCGTTAAAAATAACGGGGTAAATAATTTGTTCACGTAAATGTAAATTATTTCACTTTTCTCCTTCCGTAGAACAAATTAGCCTCATGGAATTAAGTAAATATATCATTCATCACATGTCAAGAGACGCGAAAAAGTTTATGACCTGCTTTGTTTTATTTTCAAATTACATCTTTTTTGGCACAAAAAGCTAAGTTAAGTTTGGTTCAAAATATTTTAAATAAACATTATAATTTCTGATTTTCTTAAAATAAGTTTTGAAAAAATAATTGATATTTAAAAAAATTTCAAAGTCAGATTTCCAGTTTTTTTTAAAATGGAAAAAAATGGTCAATTTTGCTGACTCAAAAAAAACTAGATTTTTAACGAAAATTTCGGACGTGCTAGGAACGATTAAAAAATGGAAAAAAATACCCCAAAAATACTTTGACCTTTCCTCTTAATGAATAACAAACATTTAGACGATAAAATTTTGTTTTCGTCAAGTTTGGCGTCTTTTTCATCATGCTATGCTCTTTTTTTTAGCGATCTCGTGGAGGTACCTAAGTAAAATAGACTGATTTGCAGATTCACATGATTCAGTACCGAACTACTTTGTCTTGAAGTCAGAACATCACATTCCTTTGTCCGAACTTGCTTTCGTATGTCAATCCCGATTCTTAGTTTGTAAACTTCTCTTAGCCCCACCCCATCAGCTATGGGTTGATTTGATTTGATTTGATTTACGGTAACCTGAAGGAGTTATTTAATTCTGACAAGATTTTTTTGCTGGTAATATTTTTTTTCAAAAATGTATTGCTGCTAATATTCCGCCATCCACAGAAATAGATTGATGGTAATACTTTTTTTCTTCAAAAATGTATTGCCAGTCATACTTTTTTCAACAATGTATTGCTGCACTATTTACATTATTCGGACTATTGTCCTCATCTTTGTCACCATATTTATTACAACGTTTTGACCTTTCAGTATTTGGCTATATTTCTAAGATGAGGTATTATGTACACTATTTACATTATTCGGACTATTGTCCTCATCTTTGTCGCCATATTTATTACGTTTCGGCCTTTCAGTATCTGTCTATATTTCTGAGATGAGGTATTATGTACACTATTTACATTATTCGAACTATTGTCCTCATCTTTGCACCCTATTTATTACAACGTTTTGGCCTTTCAGTATTTGTCTATATTTCTAAGATGAGGTGTTATGTACACTATTTACATTATACGGACTATTGTCCTCATCTTTGTAGCCATATTTATTACGTTTCAGCCTTCCAGTATCTGTCTATATTTCTGTGATGAGGTATTATGTACACTATTTAGATTATTTGAACTATTGTCCTCATCTTTGTCACCATATTTATCACAACGTTTTGGCCGTTGAATGCTTCGGCCTTCTTCAGGTGGTTGGAATTTCAAACTGATCCCCGAAGAAGGCTGGAGCATACAATGGCTAAAATGTTGTGATAAATATGGCTGCAAAGATGAGGACGATAGTTCGAATAATGTAAATAGTGTACATAATACCTCATCTCAGAAATATAGACAGATAATGTATTGCTGGTAATAACTTTTTTCCTTCAAAAATTCATTGCTGGTATTAAAACCTATTTTTAAACTTTCATAGTGTTTTGAACCCACTTTGGAAGTTAACTATTTGCCCAGAGCTCTGATTCTGACAGGTGCTACCACCTCGGGTTAGGGTGGATCTGGGAACACCATCAATAAAGAGGTAGTTTCACACTCTTCAAAACCTCCGGATCAGAGGCCTTGCTGTTGGATGTAGTTAATCATCTTACCCAGGACATGGATGTAGTTTATCGTCTTGCTCATGATGGTCAGCTATGGGTTGAATAGCAGGATAGACTGGTCAGCAATCAATCTACCGCAAGAAAATCTTCAGTTGAGTCAGTGATGGATCGAAATAGAGACATGATCGGTAAAATGTGTATCACATATGGTACTTAACTCGCTGACATAGGGCATGAAAAAAACAACAGAATAAGACCTTACCTTGGGTGACATTCCCCCGGAAACTGTACATCATTTGCGAACACATCATAAACGGAAACAATATGCGGGTGGCCACTGCACAAGACGTGCAAGTTGATTTCCATTCGAGTCTTCATCGTATCTGGAAGACATTTCACAGCAAACCGTTCACCTGTCGATAGCTTCTTGCATGATCTAAATATTCAGAAAATAAAAGGAAATAAATAAAAGCAAAATTATTACAAGCGAAAAGAAAACAAGACACCATTTCTTGATGTCACAGAACAAAATGCAGTTCCAAGATTATTCTTCTACCTCAGATTGTGACCCTTCTGGAAGTTGATGATCATGGCTCTCTACAACTTCCTCTCTTTTGTAGCTCTTAATAAATTTTGTCTTTTTACTATCTCTCCTAAACCCTGTTCTGCCATCCATTTACCCAAGCTTGTTGTTTTCTTCTATATGCCATGTCTCTTCAGAATGTTGGTGATCATGGCTTTCCACAACTTCCTCTCCTTTATAGCTCTTAATAAATTTTGTGTTTTTGTTATTCCTCCAAAAAAGCTGTATGGAATGATGTTTGCCAAATATTTCTTCATAGCAAGAAACATATTGACTTATTATTCAAGTAAATGAATGGTGAAATGTTATCAGAACCTGGATGCAAATTTACTGTGGATGATCTAGCGATTAAAGCACTTTTAAATAAAAAAATGTTATTAAAAAATGCTGGAGGCAAAAATTGTCACTGTAGAATTCTCTCCCTTTGCAGCATTTCTGTCACCTTGAGACGGTTGCTATAAATAAACACTTGTCAACTGTTCTTTTTAGTATTTTAAGCTGAAAATTGCTGACTACTGCTTTGAAAGTAGGCTAAACTTCCTTCTTCTAACACCATTTTGAATTCTAGACTCTACACAACGTGTAACATCATTTAAATCATGTCAATTTTTGTTTTGCAATTTTTGTAAACAAAAATGGTCACATCAATATCCAACAAAGCCTTTATACAGAAGTTTTTCCTTGATTTGGACTCCGCAGATGATTTTGAAGGCCTTACTGAAGTGGATATTGACAGTGAAGTGGTCAAACCACATTAGTGATGTGGTTGAAAGTGAGATACTGACAGTGAAGTGGTCAAACCACATTAGTGATGTGGATGAAAGTGAGATACTGACACTAGATATTTAACAGCTACTATCATCCATGGCTGACAAATTTTATGCAAACAACTGGCTCCATGGATGTACATGATAGCCTTGCTGAAGGTGAATTATTTCACCTATTTATAAACAATGAAATAATAACTTTATTTGTCAATGAAATAATGCTATTCAGGTAAAAGAAAGAGCAAACAAATGCTGATGTCTTCTCGTATGTAAACCCGAGGAAGCACATCATTTTTTTTAACGAAATGAAAGCCCTCTTAGCCATTTTGCTTTTTATTACACCCCAGAACTCCACAAGGAATAATAAAAGTTGGATTGTTAATGTATTTGTTTTATATTTTTGTGTTCTCAAGGTCAAAACATGCATGCAAAAAATAATGCATTACATCAAAATATTACTTATCCAATTCTTTTATTAGTGTACAAAAATTAAAATCTATATGCACAATATGAAGAAAGTTATAACAATTTTAAAACAGTAGGTATTCATGTTTTTGCACCCTCAAAATAAAAAATAAAAATTAAAAATGCAATGGCAAGGGTAACAATTTCAGAAAGAAATTTACTTAAAAGATAAAACAATTTATTAAGACAAAAATGTTTAGAAAGTGCTATGATCACAAGATGATCCACAGTAAATTTGAAACCACGTTCTTAAATTGTTTCACCATCCCGAGCAGATCTTCTATTATCACAATGTGTGATATTTAATAATAAAAGGGATGGAAACATAAACAAAAAGAATCTAAATGAAATTGGCTACAATATATACCCAAAGCATATATCAAAAAAAATTTTTTTTTTCAATTTAAAATTCCCAGCATCTCATGTAGCTGCATTGACATAAACACAGAATTAGTCTGTGAATTCCTAGAGAATGAAAACTTTTTCCACTTTGCCATACTTCTTTTCCCTAAAATTGTTTTCAATATCTAAAAAAAAAAAAAAAAAATTGTATATACTTTATATATATATATATATATATATATATATATATACTAGCAGTAGAGTCCGGTGTTGCCCGGGGATGTAACAGTAAGAGATAGATCAAGTATTGACCATCATAAAGATTGAAAAATAAAATTGACAAAGATTGTTTAAGGTTGACAGACACGCATGTCTTAATTATTTTTTTTTTTTGTTTTTTTTTGTTTTGTTTTTTTTTAAGAATTGGTCAAACCCAAACTAAAACAAAAGCATTGTTTTCAATCGTTATGAGTCTACCGATTGAATAGAATTTTATTATAAGCAATTGTCTTGTAAATGGAATTTTTAAAGCATTCTGAATGTAAAAATAAAGAAAAAAGTGTGCAAGACAATAAGAAGCACTACCTGCCAAAAAAAAAAAAAAAAAAAAAAAAAAAAGTGATGCTTTGTTGAAAAATGTAGGAAATCTGATCCCATAACGAACACACACACTAACAAACAACCTGGGTTTTATAATAAGTATAACTTGATATGAGTTGTCCTCCTTTCATTCTTGTGATGCCTCTTAATCGTGTTTTCAAATTGATTTCATGCAAAAACAATTCCGTTTTTCCAATTTTTGGTGCTGTCAGAACCACCACACCGTAGTCCTGTGAAGTTTTGTTGAAAGCGGTTGAAAAATGTGGGAAATCCGATCCAATATATAAACATACAGACACACACACAATCTGCGTTTTATAATAAGTAAGATTATATATATATATATATATATATATATATATATATATATATATATATATATATATTTCAAAATTTTTTTTTGTCAAAAGGAACTTTATTATGGAAATAAAAAGTTAAGACCAATTTTATCTTTCATGATAAAAAAAAAAAACAAGCAACTGACTGGTTTCACCCTCACTCAACAGAGTTAGAATTGAGGAAGTAAATATCATAATATAAAATATAAAAGATATATAATGTGCAATATTGAAGGCAGAACAATCTAGATTAAAATAACATCGGGTCCTAACAGACATACCCTGTTTACCGAATCTGTTAGGACTTTTGATGTTATTCCAATTGAGATTGAATCATGAGTGAGTAGTGTGAAAGGAAGAACATTCAGCCTAGTAAAACCTTTGCCTCAAACCATTATTCTCTGTCAGGCAGGACCCCACCATGCTTTGTACAAAATTAGTTAAAAAAAAAACTGCCTCAACAAAAAGAACATGGCTGTGTAAAATATGTATGTTTGTATTGGTTATTTATTCTTGTGTTTGTATCTAAGCAAAGTATAAAGATACAGGAAAATTCTGTGCAAGAGTACTGAACTCTTACATAATATCAGTCCTCCTATACGACAGTGAATGCTGGACAATTTCTTCACAGATGAAGAAGAGACTTGAAGCAAGAGAAACAAAGAAAAGAGTACTGAACTGTTATATAATATCAGTCCTCCTATATGGCAGTGAATGTTGGACAATCTGCTCGCAGATGAAGAAAAGACTTGAAGCAAGAGAACCAAAGAAAAGAGTACTGAACTGTTATGTAATATTAGTCCTCCTATATGGCAGTGAATGTTGGATAATCTCCTCACAGATGAAGAAACTTGAAGCAACAGAAATGTGGTTCTACAGAAAGATGCCGAGATGAGAATATTATGGGCCAAACATGTGAGCAACAGCAAAGTTCTAGAGATAATTCCACCAAAAAGGACACTTATACTTAACACCGGAAAAAGATAGATGAAATTTCAAGGACACACAATGAGGCCAGAGGGCTTGGAAAATCTGATACTCACAGGACAGAGGAAAGCAGCACATGACCTACCTAGCAAGCTTGTGTAAGTGGATGGCAGAATAGGATTTAGGAGAAATGGCAAGAAGACAAACTTTACTAAGAGCTACAAAGGACAAGAAATTATTGAGAACCATGTTTGCCAATGTCTTGAAGAGATATGACACATAGAAGAAGCAGTAGCATTTATTTGGTTAATGAAACAGCATGACTCAACATGTCTTCTGAAATCTTTCAAATACTTGTGGCATCATTGCTAAATAAAATTGATAGACTTTGCCAGGCTAAAAGATGTCTGACAGGAGATCAGGCAACTCACACATGACATTTATATACATCAGTGTATATAAGTAGACAGGGCAATCAATACCAAGTGAGAGTTTGTTTCATGCTTGAATAAACTTCAGGCCTGGTACCCTCACAAGGAAAACCCACAGATCAGTCAGATCCTTAAACCGTTTAAACCGTTAAATCCAATCTATCTGCTCTCTCCATGATATTGAGCACTTTTATCCATAAATATAGCATATCTTAAAACTATATATATATATATATATATATATTTTAAGAATTTCACCCCAAGCAAGGCGGGAAGCCACTAGGACGCAAGGGATTACAGAACATTTAGAGCAAGATCAGATAGGGAGTGATTTTGAGGAGGAGGGTAGTGGATAGATCAAGGCAACTGGAGATGTCAATTAGCATTACACTTGAATAGCTGGAGATTATAGCTCTCAGGGAAACTGGAATAGGGAAGGAAGTTCCACAGGCGAGAAGTGCGAGACATGAAGCTATTGGAGTAGAAGAGACGGCTACATTTAGGAGTTTCGACAGTGAAGGGGTGAGAGCAGGATGCCAGCCTCGTAGGGCGCTTGAACTCATCACTTGAGGATACCATAAGATTGAAACCAAGGTAGCAGATTCAACTGACCTCCTGAGTTTTAAATCATATATATATATATATATATATATATATATATATATATATACACGCACACACACTCCTGATCAAAAATTTAAGACCACTTGAAAATTTTTTATAAGAGACTGTTTGTCAAGGATACATTATAAACTTTATCTTAAGATTACTAATTCTATAACCTAAAAGGTTATGTAGACAAAAAGTTATAATTCATTCAATTTATTCAGAAATGGATATTTTTATAAAATGAGACGTTTTACACTTGATCAAATTATAAGATCAGGGGGTATAAATTGTTAGATTGAGGGTAATTCCAATGTCTTTAGTTCAGTTAGAGATTAGCAATCACTGCGTAAACGTGTCACCATGCCTAAAGCAAGCAAACAAACTTACCGAAGTTGAGCATGCACAAATTCTAGATTTCCATAATCAACGTTTGTCACAGCGGGTGTTCGCAGCAAAGGTGAATCGTAGTAAAACTGTGATTTGCAACTTTTTAAAGGACAGTGAGAATTATGGAAACGCAAAGTCTACTGGTAGGCCCCAAAATATTTTTTCGTCATTGAGTAGGAGAATAAGACGTGTTGTTGTGAAAGCCAGTGGACTTTCTTCTAGTCAAATTAAGGCAGCCACAAATGCTGATTGCAGTCCAGTAACCATCAGATAACACTTACGACAAAAAGGCATGGTAAATAAAAAGCACAAACAAATTCCTCGGCTGCTTCCACGTCACAAAGTGAACCGTTTAAGGTTTGGTTGTGAATACCAAACATGGGACATTGAAGTGGAAGAAAGTCCTGTTTTCTGATGAGAAAAAATCCAATCTAGATTGTCCTGATGGCTTCCAATGATATTGGCATAACAAAAACATGCCTCCTGAAATTTTCTCCACACATCATAGTGGTGGAGGGTCTCTAATGGTATGGGGATGCCTTTTCTTACAGAGGTACGATGGAGCTTCAGGTGGTGCAGGGTCATCAGACAGCGGCTGGTTATGTTAGCATGCTACAAAAAAGCATCGTTGGTGATGGGGGTGGGCATCGTTTGTGCGGGGATGGATGGTTATTCCAACAGGATAATGCTGCAATCCACACTGCATGCCAGACCTTGACCTTCCTACAAGAAAATGGGGTCCATCTCTTGAGACATCCTGCATTCTAACCGGACTTGAACCCAATTGAAAATGTTTGGGGATGGATGGCAAGAGATGTTTATCGAAATGGCAAACAATATTCAACAAAAAAATGAACTTTTTGAAGCTATCTTCAGAAGCTGAAGTAATATTCCTTACAGCTTAATGGAAACACTAATTTCTAGCATGCCCTAAAGAATTTTTGAAATAATCAAAACCAGTGGAAGTAGAACTCATTATTAAATTTGGTTGTTGAATGTTTTCGTACACTTTTCGTACAATTTCTTAGAATTTTTGTCTCTGGTCTTATAATTTTGATCAAGTGTAAATCGCCTCATTTTATAAAAATTCTAATTTCTCAATAAAATGTTTGGATTATAACTTTTTGTCTACATAACCTTTTAGATTATACAATTAGTAATTTTAAATAAGAAATGTTTAAATTTTTTCCATAAAAAACAGTTTTTTTTTTTAAATTTTCAAGTGGTCTTAAATTTTTGATCAAGAGTGTATATATGTGTAATATATTAAATATATATTATATGCGGGTACTTATTAGAAAGCGCTCAATATCAGAGATGTTTTTGCAACATGCTGACGTGCTGAAATCCTCACAGTATTTAGTATTGTTGAATTTACCACCAACATTTTTTTTCAAGATTTACAAACTCTATGCAAACCAATTGATGAAATTTGAATAAGTGGTTTTGTTTGGAAAAATACTAAATTCTTAGGATTTCTTACTCTTGAGCATGCAACATCCAACTGGCCATGCGTTAATATTTCCTTCTGGAGTCAAGTTCCAACTTTTTGAAGCATTTAGCCTTGCAATTTGTTTATAGTTCTCGCAAATGCACAAGGAACTGGAAACTGAATTCTTGTATATAAAACTTAAAGAAAAGATATGCAAAAAACAGAATTGTATTTTTATTAAATAAGTATTTGTCATTTTAATCATTAAATTGTTTTTAAAATAGTGGGAGTATTTTGTATGTTAAATAATAGAACTTTTAATTTTTTCAAAAATATTAATAAAAATTTATTGTACTAAGCTATGCACCCTAGTAAAACCAACTGCACTTTGTACCCGCTTACCTGTTTGCACCTCTCCACAAAATTTGCTTTCCATCGATCAATGTATGGTTATTTTAGAGGGTGTGATGGACAGACAGACTAACGGAAGTTACGGAATTTTATATATAGATTCTTGCTTGAATAATTAAATGTCTTTCAATTAATGCTTAAATGGCAAAGATGCACACAGCAATTATAATCATCAAAGAAAATGGAATCAAGAAACTAAGTTTGAATTTTTGTCGATGTTGCTTGTCTTGTGAAAGGCATGGATCCACTTCTCCCTGCACTTCTTACCTGACAGGTCCACTGATTCCAGTTCCAAGTTTATCCTTCCAGTAAATAATGTAATCATCAAGAATTGAATGTGTCTGTGGATAGAAAAAGAAAGAAAATTGCCAATCAGTCATTTATGTTATACACATCATTTGCAACGTTCTAATATCTTTCAAGATGAGTTAACTCCCTTACCAGATCAATGTGAATAGAGTTAATTCCCTTAACCTCTGACCAGATCAATTATCAAAGATTACATCTCCATTAACACCTTATGAGATCAATTTTGAAAGCTAACATATCTAATCCTGGGTATGATAATAGACTACATCTGGCAGCAAGGCTTCTGATCAAGAGATGAGAGATTTTGAGTCTATAAACCACCTACCAAGCTGCCCAGCAGACTACCTTAGTTAGCCAGACTCAACTTTTATTACAGTCAAGTATTGTCTGTTGCTATTACCAAATTCTACATGTGAACAGGATATATAGTAACACAGGAACTGAAGGATTCCTAGATGTTAACAGAGTAGCATGGGCTATCCTTCAATACAGGAACACGCCCATCCTGACCATTGGGCTATCCCCAGCACAACTTTCACTCCACTGTCGGCTACGGGATTTTATACCCACCCCAACCCAGGCTGTACAAGCTGCATACAAAATGGATAAATAAGTTCAACAGGAAAATTGTGAAAAAACCTCAATGTAATATAGTTGCCTTATACAAAGGTACAAAACTTGGGCTGGCCCATACCCTTCTGTCTGGTTCCACTTCAATAGGGACATAGCAATATAATACAATATGACGTCCAACCAATCACCGCTGGGACACAACAGGCAGAATTGTCAAGACACTACCTGTCAATATCGAATCAGAGTAGATGGATCAGGTAGAATCACCTTGATGAACCGCAGATTTCTAATGAAGATTCAAACACCTGCAGTCCCTACCCCCATCCCTAGTACTTTACCCGAGCCCCCTGAGCCAAGTGTCAAGGACACCCAGGAGCCCAATCTACATGTCCCACATGCCAAAGAAAATGAAATAATGTCACAAAAAATCATCCAAGCATTGTCCAATCAACCAGGCCAGAAAGAACTCATTTCACCTCAAAGGCCATTACCTTTATGTAATGGGTGGGAATGGAGATAAACAATCAAGAGTGTGAAACTCACCTTCAGGAGGAGGTTTCCAACTAGCATCCAGTTGGCTGACAAAAATAAACAGGGTTGTAACTTAATACATTTCTATCTCTTGAATAGTCACAGTATGCTGGATATTTATTGAGCACAATATTCACACTGGAATCATCAACCAATCAGAACTTACAGAATAGGCTTGCCCGGGTAACAGAATGGAACCTCCCAGGCTGTTATATAAACCACCTACCAATTTGCCCAACAGATGAACTTGGTCAGTCAGACTCAGTATTTTCTGAGCGACTGTTCGGTTCAACTCTCTGTCTCCGGACGGAGAGGAACCCGAAGGAGGCTACACCGAAGGGCGGAGTTCTCCATCGTTAATATAAAACATCCTGAACCCGCTTTATGCGGGTTCAAATGGGCACGCTTGGGCCATTTAATGGGCTCTATAAACCCACAATATAAAACAACCGACCTTGTGTCAAATGTTGCCCCAGTGGGGGGGAGACTGAATATTGTCAGTCAGACTCAACTTCTATTACAGTTGAGTACTGTCTGCTGCTATTGCCAAATTCTACATTGAGGAGAATGTAACCACTTCATAGTAGCTTTTGTTCCCATGTCAACCCTGATCCGGGATGGTAGCAGTTGTTAAGGTCTCAGATATAGGCAAATATTGAACTCCCAAACAAAAACAAGACACTATAAAAGTATAACAAGATATTTCTATATAAAAATATTACCAACAATACATGTTTATAGTAAAATTACCCACAATACATTTTATCTGTAGTTGAAGGCATACAATTGAGTTTAAAATACTTCGATTTCAGCATTAAATAACCCATAGAGATGTTGATATGCCGTTAAACAAATTCAAACTACCAACATGAAAGAACACTTTCATGACATTGGTTCATATACTATCTTACAATTTCCAAAATATAACTTTAATAAAACTAAAATATAAAACAAACATCACTACCTGTAATAATTATGTCCACAAAAGCCATATTGTTTGTCCGAGAGAAGGTTGTGAGAAAATGTTATACCACTTCAGCATTGATTAAAGCTTCAAATAATTTGCCGAAAAGTGGTAAGAGATTAATAATATGTTGTTCTGAGGTCCAGTGTGGTAGCACCTGTTAGGGTCCCACCTATGGTTAAATAGTGAACCTTAAGCAAAACATAACACTATGAAATTATAAAAATACATTTTATAGTAAAAATGCCAGCAATAAATGTTTTAGTAAAAAAATTACCAACGATACATATTTATAAAAAAATTATCAAACAATACATCATTCAATTTCTTAAATCAAACTGTATTCCTAAATATAACTTCAACAAAACTACAACATAATTATCATGTTCACACAAATATGTATATGCACAAAAGCTGAGTATCTTCTACCATGGATTCAATTGTGAAAGCAGAATAACATAACAGATATTTATTAGATCAAAGCTCCCAAAAAAGTTAAATTTCAGCATTAAATGACCCATTGATAATGAGTTGATAATGCCATAAAACAAATCAACAAAAAATTTTTTTACACTATATATATATATATATATATATATATATATATATATATATATATATATATATATATATTTTTTCATTGAATACGACAGACAAGGTGCTTTGATTTAGTTTTTTATAAATTTCTGATGTGATCTAATAATTTTTCATTTTCGAATGATAAATTATATAAAAACTGTCTAATTCTTCTTTTTATCCAAGCACTTTCGGCTATACGTTTAGCCATTTTCAGGGTTGAAATATATTAACTGATAACAAGAAATAGTTTGTTGTATGTACGTATTTATATAATGTTTTCATATTCAAAATACGGTGAAGATATTGTGTCCATGTTCATAGTCAATATTACTGTGTGTTTTTTCTGTCTTTATTAATAATGCTTCCATTATTCTTAGCCTTATATATATATATATATATATATATATATATATATATATATATATATATATATATATATATACAATAAAGTATTGCTTTTCAGTATCTTTCCTCACCACCTGATTAGATGTCCGAATTAAGCCTTAAACCAAATATGCATTTTTGTAGAGGTAACTTACATGTTTGAATGTAATAACTAATATATATATATATATATATAAAAATATACATATATACACACACACACACACACAAGTATAGGATTGGCGTATATGGAATAAATTCCAATAATCAACAATTACTATTCTTAAAAAGTGCTCAATACAAATTGGAGCATATATATATATATATATATATATATATATATATTTATTTTGTCTGACGATCACAAAATGTGAAACCCAGGATCACATCAATCCAACCATATATATATATATATATATATATATATATATATATATATATATATATATATATATGGTTGGATTTTTAAGTACCATATATAATATACAAATAATTATACATACTTATATTTATTTATATTTATATACACTTTTTTATATATATATATATATATATATATATATATACACACACAAGAAAGATATGATATGCAACTGTATATATCTGACTAATAGTATCTAATTCAATGCTAAAATGGAAAAAAGAAATTCTATAAAAACAAATTCAAAAACATGAAACTTCAAAAATATTAAACTCAGCATTTACATTTCCTCATTATTTTCCTATTTGTCATATTTTGTCACCTCCCGACATATATAATAAAAAAAAAAAAAAAAAAATGCACCAATTAAAGTAATATCAATTGGAAGAATTCTTTTCAAAGGATGATGTAATGTCCGAGTTCTTTTTTTATTTTGTCATTCAATTAACTGCACACTGGTGTGTGTGTGTGTCTGTGTCAAGGCAAATTGCATTCTTGCTCTGCAGATGTTCAAATTCTAACAAAATTTCTATGTAACTTTTTTTCTCTTTTGCCCAATAAACGCCACCATTCCTGTAAAGAGTATAGTCATTCACTTGTGTTTTAAATAATCACCGTACTTTACTGAATTGGATAAACAGTAAGTGTTGGCTTGTGATCAACAACTTTCAGGCTAGACAAAAAGATTTTCGGATAGAATCCTTGACAAATTCTGACCTCAGACAAAAAGACACTATTACGCCAACCGCAATTTTCAACTTTTCCTGATATTCCAAATCTGCTGTCAAGAAAGTTGTTGAATATGGTTTGACTTGGATTGTTTTACAGCATATCAACACCTCAATGGCTTATTTAATGCCGACAAGATTTTTATTGCTGGTAATAGTTTTTCCTAAAAATGTATTGCTGGTAATATTTTTTTCTTCAAAAATTCATTGCTGGTAATAATTTTTCCAAAAAAGAATTCCAGGTATTAAAACCTATTAATATACTTTGATAATGTTTTGATCACTTTGGAGAGGGGGGGGGCGACTATTTGTCCATAGCTGGAGCCCTAACTCGTGCTACTACCCCAGGTCAGGGTCAACCCAGGAACACCAGCAATTCAGAGGTAGTTCCATACACCTCAAAACCTTCTGATCAAAGCCTTGCTGTCATATGTAGTTTATCGTCTTACCCAGGACACAGATACAGTTTACTGTCCGTATTATGGGGGTGTTGCTAGCGTCCTACCCCTGTGCAAAGGTGCACTTGGCATATTCTGAAGCCCCAGCCAACAGGGAAGGTTGTTGAATATAAACACAGACAGATGATTATCATAAATCATGTTTCAAACCAATTTAATAGCAGAGGGAATTTGGTCTTCATCAGGACTCCACCTGTATGGCCTTCAACCAGGTAAAGCCAAAGGTTTATATATCAGAAAAAATTTCTTTCATTTTCTCATATTTTTTACTCATGTGGTCCCCACAAGTGGTAAGATGATCAAATTTCACATCTAAATTCTTTGCCCTTTTAAAATATGACATTTAAATTACAGGTAGACTATTTCACATCTAAATTCTTTGCCCTTTTAAAAT